TGACTTCTTGGTGCAAACAAACATGTTTCTGGAATGAAATGAAAAGGGGCGGAGTCTTGGTCGGTGTGCCCGTGGCTTTGACCCCCTGCCGGCGGCCTTGACCCCCCTGCCGTTGCTTGTGGCTGTGGGAGGCTGGGAGAGCTGGGCATACGCATTTGTTTCAGTATCGGTCGTAACATCGCCAGATGGTTTTAGGGACCTTAATCGGGGTGGGGGGTGCAGCGGATTCTCAGCGGGAGGCCAGTGGGGTCCCCCTCCCTCCTCCACCTCCTCCTCCTCTCTGCCTCTTCCTCCTCCTCCTCCTCCTCTTCTAACTCCACCCTCCTCAACCCGCGCCACCCCCTTTCCCTGTGCTCCCCGCGGAGTCGGCAGGCCTCTATGTCTGAAGCTCGGGCATCGGCGGGCTGAGCCGAGTGGCTCCCAGACCTCAGGCGCACGCGTCCTGTGGAGACCCCGGGTCTCCTGGGTGTGTTGACACAGATCTTTTTTTTACGCCTCTAACATGGCAAATGAGGTTCCAATATACCTTGTTCAGTCTCCACATTTGCCATTTTAGTTACTTGTCTTTCTAGTTTTTTTTTTTTTTTGCATTTGTGCCAACCGCCTGATGCCAACCATCTGTGGATTCTCTAATATGACAGCAACACAGGCTGCGTTTGTATTCAGGGCAGTTTACATCTTTGTTTGCCAAGACCTTTTGCTGTTATTATGCAGCAAATTAAACGTGAGAACAGCAGACAGGCCGCAAGGCCCTGAGCAGCCTGGTTTGTTTGTATAGGAGTATGTGAGCTGTTGCGTGGTTCCTTGGTTTTTGGTCTGTTTTAGTAACAAACTGTAGTGCTAATTTATGTTTAGTATGAAGAAGTGGGTTTAATGAGCGTTTTCTGAAGTGAGGTGCGGTGTGCTGCGTGAGCAAAAGCCGCTGGCACGCGCGGCGCCGTTCCGTACGCTGGAGGCTGGCCAGGCACCCTGGACCTTCGCGCCGAGCACTACCTGAGGGTTTCCGGGTTTCCATTTTGTACAAAGAAGATTAATGTTCATGGACGTGAATAAATTCCCTTTAATGATTTGGCCTATAATCCCCTTGCTGTATGATAAATGAGTATTCTGAAAGTACTTTGTTCTTTGAAGAATTTTTAGGACAGCTCAGATAATTAATGTTTTGTTGTGCGTATTTGTTACTTTTTAACTTTTGATTAACGAGCTGTGTTTTTTACAAAATCTTTCCTTCTGACGGGGTCCTAGAGATCCACGGAAACACACACGTATTCTTTGGTCCTCATGGTCATTTTGTATTTTTCAATCACAGACATTTCAACACGTCCAAAGGACGGTCGTGTTGACCTGCTGCCCAGGCCCGGCTTGCACGCCCTCTCCAATCTGCATGTTTGGACGTAGCTTGCAGGTGGAGGAGGTGAAATATGTTCTTACCCCGCGGAGACTGTGGACCCTTGCGGTCTGCGCCCAGCTTCTCGCCCCTGGGCTTCGCTGCCTGGGCGGAGGGAGCAGAGGGCGGGCTGAGCAGCGCTGCCCAGCGTGCCTGCCGCCTCGCAGCCTGGCGGGCGAGCCGCAGTGGGGGCTCGGTGGCAGGTCCCTCGGCGTGCTGTCCTCGAGTCCTGTGCCGTTGCGCTCTCCCCACCTGCCGCGGCCAGTGCGCCGGTCGCGGTCCTCACCCGTCTGCCTCGTCCCTGCGGAGCGGAAGGCCGTCTCCTCGCTCGTCTCAGCCTCTAGGATGGCAGACGCTCAGCTGGAACCCGAAGCCCCCAGGCCTCTGAAAGCCAGACGTCTTCTTTCTCAGTGACTTGCGTCGCCGCAAAACTCGACTTGAACTTAGGCGAGCTGCTCGTGGCCTCCTATGGATCCCCGGCGTGGCACGGCTGTTCCTGCGTTGAAACATGACCGGGTTCGATGATGGGATGGCGTCCCGCCCTTTGGGAGAGGGTCCCGTGAACGCGGGCTGCGCGCCACATCCGCGTCGGCCGTCTAAAACAAGCTTTTAGACAATCTGTTTTCCGAAACAGTTGGTTAAGGATCCTGTGTAGGAACATTTCCAGTCTTTGTTTAGGTAAAAGCTGAAGCGCTAATGACACTTCTGAAGGAGAGAACCGTTAAAGGCACTAGAATCGGGCAATGGTCCTGCGAAAAGCAGGCGGTTTTAGAGCTGGGCAGGGGTTCTTTGTGAGTGAAGGTCGACGTCATGTGCGTCCACGAGGCAGACGCGGGAACACCCGCATGCGCCGGTGGTTCTGCCTTCCAGGAGCTGGTCGCAAGCGACACACTCGTGTTGCTTCCACCCCCCGGTGATACCTTGGAAGGTGTCGTTGTCGATCCAGGGGGCCGGTCGTTAGAGCCCAACATTAGGGCTTTTACAATGTGCACGGGACACGTTTTTCTCACTCCCGGCCTGACACCTGCCAGTGTGGCAGGGTATCGCGGACAGAGAAGGTGTTTTTGTCACTTGGTAATTTTAGATGACTTATCTTAAAAGGTCACTTGTTGAAAATTAAAACACTGTCTTTGGGAAAGCCCACTTTTAAAAACCCTAACCGATGTCGCCTAGTACCCGCGGGGCGTCGGCCCCCCACTTCTCCCACTGTGAGCTCCCTCCGTGTCGCTGGCGGCGCTCTGGGCCTTCCTGAGGTGAAAACGGAATAGAAGGATATCTACGGCCGGCGGTTTCCTCCTGCGCTAAGGTCTTGGTGCGGGTCGGATATCTCTACAGACCCTGGGGAAAGCACACTCCGGTGAAATGTAAAAAACAAGGGAAGATTGGGAGAAAACGGATGAGATGGGAAATGTAGGAATACACAGGCATATTTTAATTTTATAAAAGGAGCCTGAAAAGTGGCGTTGGTGGCATTTAACAGAGGCGGGGACCTGCCGTGTTCCTGGGCAGCGGTAGCTGTCACTTATTATAAAGCGGCGAAGGGCACAACCGCGTGCGCAGCCGCGCTGGGGCGTGAAAGCCTCGCTGTCCCCTGAGGTTCCCCCTGCTGTCCTGCCCGAGACGACTGCCCCCGTGGACCGGGCCTGGGGGCCGGGGCCAGCCGGACGGAGGTAGGGGTGTGGGTGCGGGAGGTGCATGGTGACCTCGCCACGGGCCCTGGCGGGACAGGGGACGGCCCCCAGGTTCTCCGCAGCACGCGAACCAGGACGTTGGCTTCCCGTGAACACTCACGCACGAGAAGACGGTATTTGGAAGATGAGCTCTGATAGGAACGAACATCACACCCTGGCTGCAAAGGTTGGTCAGATGCTGGAACATGATACGAAGAGGAATTTCGAATCTCCTTCCTTTGTGAGACTTTAAAAATGTTCCATTTATTACCTCAGGGTTTGGTATCACATGAAAATAGATAACTGGAGACTTTAATAACAGCCATCTGTCTGGAGTTTGGCGTTTGGTTTTTCTGGAAGGAGAAAGGCTGGACTGGATTATCTCTGGCTGCCTGTTAGGTATTTCCAGGCGGACGGTGTCGGGCTCAGGCAGGAAGACGCGAGTCCCAGGTGCCGATACTCTAACGGCTTGCGGGGACCCCCGCCGACGGCCTGCGGCGGGCGCACGGCCTGACCTTGCCAGCCTGTCTGAGGTCACACCCACCACTTTCTCCACGGCTCCTTCCGTTCCAGCCTGTGGCCTCGTTGCCGTTCCCAGATGGGACCTGAGCTGTTGGCACCCCAGGGCCCCTCTGCCCACCTCATACCTCTGTGCCCTCTGCCCGCATGCCCCTCCCCGCCCCCGCTGGGCTGTCCCCTTCCTGGGGGGCTCTTCTCAGGCCACCTGCTCGGGGGGCTCGGCCTGACCGCCTCCTCTGGCCGAGCCCTGTCCCCTCCCACCGCGCCCTCCTGCTCTGCTGTGCTGCCTGCAAGTGCTTCTCTGTGCCTGAGGCTGTGAACTGGGCTTGTCACTCAGGGCTTCACCTGCCTTGTACTGAGAGAGTCCTGGACCCTGAGCAAGTTCCTGGCCCGGGGCAGAGACTCCAATATTTGTCGAATGAATGAACGAATGATTGCCTAAGTGTATCATGAAAATACATTTATTGGGCTGGTTGTGCTTTATTTTATAAAGTATAGTCTTAGAAATCTGACATTTGTTTTCCCATCCTAAGTCTGCAGAGGTGAATTCACCGTCTTTGCCTTCATGCGACTTGGTGTTGGGAGCCGCAGAGCTGACCACTCTCTCCTGTCCCCCCCGCCCTGGACTCCCGTTGCACCTCCACACAAAGCGAGCCCGGGAGAGGCGGGCGGGTGGTGTACGAAGCAGGGCGAGCATCCAGGGCCTGCAGCGCCGGCCGCTGGACAGGCCCGGTGTGAACAACGTGGATCCAGGAGTGTTGGGGCGGCGCCCGCTGCGTTGGCAGGTGCCCCCTGCCCCACGGGAAGGCTGGCTAGAGCGGACCAGGAGGGCCCACCGCGCTGCTCAGCAAGCCGCGGGCGAGCCAGGAGAAGACAGGATGGAACTTGGTTTGCTCACCTGCATGTTGACAATGTGAAATGAGGGGCTAGTGGAGAGGTCAGCTTCCCTGGTTAGGCCTGCGCGTCCTCCTCATGCGGAAGCGAGTCAGGAAGCAGGTGGAGAGGGAAATCGAAGGGGTCGTCCCGGCGTTCCCCCGGCTCCCAGCTGGGGAACCACGTGGTACTGCCCCCTTCCGTGGGGCACGGAGGGTGGGCTGCAGCTGGCTGACCCCCCACACAATTGCAGTTGCGACACACGCGTTACGATCTACCTACAAGTAAGTGATCCGGACCAGAAGGCAGCCATCAGCCCAGGGTGTTCCTGAGCGTTTGTGGCAATTGTGGGTCATCTGGACACGGCCCCAGGAAACAGGGAGCTCTATTTGTGTGTATTTTGGGGGGATAGAAGGGTGTTAATCCAGCACGTATTCAACACCTGGTGATAAGGAAGGTACACACTTAGGAAAATCACCATGGTCTAACCTCGATCTGCGAATGGCTGGTACTGACTGCACGGGTCAATTCAGGAGCCTTTTGTGTTGCAGGTCCGCGGGAGTAAGGGAGAAGTTCTGTACATCTTGGATGCCACCAACCCGCGGCACTCCAACTGGCTGCGCTTCGTGCACGAGGCTCCGTCGCGGGAGCAGAAGAACCTGGCGGCCATTCAGGTGGGCCGAGTCGCTTCTCGGTTGTCCCGAGCTCGGGGAGGGGCGTGGACTCGTCGTGACTGCGCTCCGTGTTTCCAGTTGATTTCCCGGCGGCCGGCTGCAGAGGCAGCCGCTAGCTTGCGAACGCAGAGAAACGGCAGCCTGTCGGCACAGGCAGGGGAGGGCGGGACGCGCGGCGGTGGGCTCCGGGCCTCTCGCCTTATGGGAACCCCGGATGGGATGGATTACACAGGCTGACAGTGTCTGTGGCAGGTCATGTTGTCCAGCACTTTTAATTCATTCCATGAATGTTTATTGGTCGTTTTTTAAAACTTTGATGGCTTATCTGGCTCATGGCACACCATTCTGTGTTATTGTTGGGAAAAGGCGTCCTGGACAAAGCTTGCTCGGGTATGACCCCACAGCTAGACTTGGGACTTCTGAAGGGCAGGGGGTTAGTCAGGGTTCTCCAAAGAAGCAGAGCCAATAGGGGCTGTGTCTGTCTGTCTGTCTGCCTACCCACCTAGCGACCCACCCGCCCAGCTCGGGACAGAGCGAGGCACGGAGACGCACCGTGAGGCCCTGGCTTAGGCGGTCACGGGGGCCGGCCAGTCGCGGCGGCTCTACAGCCAGGCGGAGCCGAGGCCCCGACCCAGCCGCCAGGCCAGAGGGCAGGTGTCCCATGGGCCGGGCACCAGGCAGGATGGCGCCCCGTCCTCGAGGAGGACGTGCCTCCGGTTCCCTCCAGGCCTTTAACCGATGGGACGAGGCCCACCTACGTTGTGGAGGGCAGCCTGCTTTGCTCAAGTCCATCTATTTAAATGCTAATCTCATGCACAAATGTCTGCACAGAAACCTCTAGCAGAATGTTTGGACAAATGTCCGGGCACCTGGTGGTCCAGTCAAGCCGACACATAGGACGAACCGTCCCAGGTGGGAACCGTGTGTTTGGTGTGTGGGTTCTCGTGGCCTAGGGCGGCCTGCATGTGACATGAGGCTCTGACACCTGCTCTGAGCTGGATTTAGGGGGCCCTCAGTGGGAATTAAAGGGGGAAGAGAAGAAGTGAAGGCAAGAAGAGTTCAGAGGGGCTCTGTCGTTAAAACTCATTGACCAGATGATTAAGAGAATAAAGAAGCAGTACCTTCTGCTCGGACATGGAGCGATCGCTCACCGACACCTGGCACCTCGATTTTAAACTGAGGAAGAGAGGAGGGAAAAGAATAAGGGAACTAACCTTTTTTTGAATATTTACCCTAGGGGGTGTTCCGGAAGCTTCGCCCGCCGTTTGTCAGGTATCGATTAAAAACTCAGAGCTCCCTATTTGCTGAGCGCTACGCCGATGCCGCCCAGTTCCAAGTATAACACCGACAGCGGCAAGCGGAGAAGCGCACAGTCAGCTTTCACAGCAGCCGGGGGTGCAGGCATCGGGGCTGTTCCATTTCCTCGCGCCCTCGGCCGCCCGCGTCTTTTTTTCAGTAGAAACAAGTGCTGCATAACCAATGTGATTACTGTCTCTTTTTAGGTGGAAAACGAGCGGTGACTCTTTCCAAAGGATTGGGCTGGAAGGCACATAGGACCTTTCGGCAGCCAGACATATTTGAACCACTTTTAACACTGTTTATGATGTGCATTGGTCCCGTTGATGCGGCCACACATGTAAACGGGTTCTTTTCCTGTGCACAGACGTTCATTTTTCACGTATCTTACATGTTTTCATAGTTTCCTGAGGCAAACCCATCTCACGGGACCTCAGTTCTGTTCTAATTTTAATTTATAGACTCTGTGGTTGTCTTTTTGTTTTTGTTTTTGGTTTTTTTTTTTTGTAAATTTACTCATTTCAGAATTGCCTGGAGCACTATGACATTTTTGCTCAAGTGTTGTTTGGTAGGTTCTTTAACGAAGGGTTTTAGGAAATATTCTTTTCAAACTAGTTTTCTTTCCTTACACCTACATAGTGAGGCCAAGCTTTCCTCGTGCTCCTTGGGTTGAGGCTCCCCCCCCCCCCCCCCCGCCACTTATTTATTCCGGGAGGCCACACGCCCCGCAGGCCCCTCCGCCTGGGCAGCATCTTCTTCCTCTGCATCAGCGGCATCGCCGGGACCCAGGGAGGGGCCGGCAACCCCAGGGGGACCGGGCCGGACCTGCCGAAGGGGTGGGGGGCGTGGGACGTGCAGGGACGAGCCAGCCACAGGCACTGCGAGCTCCCCCAGCGCGTGATTGGGGCAGCGGCGGCTCGGTGCAGGCGGAGGTGAGGACTCGGCCTGCGTCCCCACCCGCCGGAGCCGCCCCTGTTGGAGAGGGGCCGGCGCGCTGTGACCGCCGCAGGGCGCGGGCCTCTGTCAGCTCCCCGGGGTAGCGTGTCTCCTACCTGAACAGTAGCTGGGGTCGCGGGGTCTCAGGGTTCAAAGCCACACCCGCGCGGGGCAGGACGCACCCAGGCCAGCAGCCTCCAGAGGGCGGCCTCCCGGAGGCTCCGCGCTGCGGGCGCGAGCGCAGTGTTTCCTGTGCAGCGTTAGGAATCCCTTGCCTTCCAAACTGCATCTGAAATGCGGGGCATTCAGGATATTTTTTATTTGAGCTGCACATCCCCGGAGTGGAGCAAATGAGAACCATTTGTGGCTCTGTGGCTTTCCTGGTGGAAAACGTCAATACTTGGTCCAATGTTTTTTTGGACAGGGGATTAGGAATTCGAGGTCTGTTTTGGCAGAGGATTGGAACTTCTTTTTGGAGACACGATTATATTTCTCGTTGTGCAATTTACTTGATTTTGGGAAATTTGCTTTGGAAATGATGATTTAAGGATCCGAATTATTGAAGAAGGACCTTGTAGGCCAGCAGCCGTCCCCACAGGCCCACGTTTCAGAATAATCAGCTGAACCGTGTGTTCCGACTCCTGAAAACTATTTCCAGGTGAACCGGAACATTCTAAGAATGAAAGATGTAGCTTAAAACGAACCAAAGAATCCTGAAGCTCTATGGGAAATGGGTGATCCTTACTAAATGTTGATTTTGTTACACTGAAGGAAAAATGTGTATGTAATAGTTGAAAAAATATTTGACTTCAGTGTTGGTTAGGCTTTGAAATGTTTCTCGTCTTTTGTGATAGAAAACTGCTCGTTTAAATACAAAACTAGGCCACTTCTACATCTCATGTTCTTACGGACATATTTTTCCTTAATCTGGCCTGGGACTTTTTGTAAAATATTTTCAATGTAAACGAAAGGCGGCTTGGTGTCCTAACCAGGAGCAGCACAGGGGAGCCCGGCCGGGTCGGCTCGCCTCACGAGGGGTGTCGGCTGCCGGGACGGACGGTCTAAGGGAGTTGAAAGAGCGCTGGGCCTTGAGCCGAGCTCTGGTGGGACACAGTCCACCCGTCCTGCGGTGGGTGGGGATCCCTGTCACCTGGAGGCCCATGTGATCCCTGCGGAATGCTGCGCCTCGCGGGACCAGGAGCCGTGGCAGCGGCAGCTCTCCCAGAGCCCGTGCTGGCCGCAGTGCAGCGGGGCAGCGCTGGGCGGGCGCCCGGGCGTCTCCCCGCAGAGCCCCCGACGGGCTCCCTCCGCGGCTCCCCAGCCTCGGGGCCCGCGGGCTCGTCCCCAGCGCGGGCGCGGAATTCCGGGAGCTGGGGCCCCAGCGGCACAGCCAGGCGCCCGGCAGCAGGGAAGAGGCACACAGCCCCGAGCCGCAGTTCCCTCTAGTTCCATTCTTTTCTATTTGTCTCTTGTCGGATTTATACAAGTAAATTTCTACAGTATTTTCTAGGGTTTTATGGAAGAGTAAGGTGCAACTGTCTAGTGATTTTCTTCAATAATATCCTAAAAATATCAGTTTCAGAGCTTGCAGATCTGTCTTTTAATGTTATTGTCCAGTAATGTAAGTAAATACTTGTCTTTCAGTAGGGAGAGAGTTTAAACGGAAGTAAAACTACCAGCCCCTGGTCCCATGAAGTTTGAAATATCAGCCCGGCTGTGCTCACATGCTCCTGAGGGGTGCGGGGAAGTTTATTACTCAGCAGTTTGTTATTTTCACTCAGGAAGGCGCACGCGGTGTCCAGGCAGAGGGGGAGAGAGCGGCGGCCCAAACGTGCGGCGACGCCGGAACCTTTCCCTCGCACACGGTTCGCTTCGTAATTGCATTTCATGGGTCGGGGCAAGTCCCCTGGTGAAACCTGACACGTGTGGCCTGCCTCGCGCCCCCGCCCCCGCCGCCCCCTGGCTGCCAGGCAGCAGTGGGAGCCACAAGGCAGCTGGGCCAGGCCTGCCGGGCCGCGGCGAGCCCGGGGGCGCCGTGGGCTCGGGCCGCAGGAGTCGTTCGGAAGAGTTTCGGTTCCTTATCAATAGGTAGACATCTGTCATACTGTGGGGGGGATCTTTTTTCCTGATGGTTATTAGCTTTGTCTGCCGAGCTCTCTACGAATGATACTGAGGTACAGGTTGACACAGAGGAAAGCTTTTTGTAAAGGAGAGTTAAGGGAGAGGTTATTAAGTATGAAACCCTTACGTGCTCTTTTAGTGTTTTTTCTTTTCTCCGCCGTCACCCACTGTCCCCTCCTTCTGTTGATTACGGAGCAGGAGTCCGCACCTGACCCCTCCCCCACACTGGTCTAGATGGTTTCAGTTCGTCAGCCCAGCATTCGTTCCGAAGCCGCTCTCCTTCGGTGTTGCTCACCCATTCGTCGTTTCGGTTGGGGAGGCTGGGTTTTCTCAGCTCGCTCCGTCCCCGGTTTGACGCGCTGCGCCTTTGCCCGCCCCGCACCCAGGGTTCTCCTTCCAGGGTCCACAGGTGGACACCAGCCTGCGGGCGAGTAAACAAACGCAGGCGACGGGCGTCAGGGACAGACGCAGCGGGAGGCGCATCGCCCGCGGCCTCCTCTGGGTCACGTGCTTTTGCCCACAGTGGAGACCCGTGTTTCCTGAAAAAGCAAGAGGCAGTTACTGCTGCTGTTCCGAAACAGCGGAACCGAGCCCCAGGTGCGCGAGTACGTGGGGCCCATCGTGGTGGGGCACGGCAGTGGGGAAGGACGAGGGGCACGTGATCAGAGGGTGCTGCGGATTGTCAGTCATGCCAGGGCGGGCGGGCGGCCGAGGGGGAGCTTGGGAACAGGTACCCCCAGAGACCCGGGGTCAGCGTTGTGAGATGGTGGCAGAATCAGGAAGAATTAGCCGGACGCATGGTGAGCTCATTTGGCCCCATCTCTGGCCCCTGCGTGGGGCGTCCATTGTCCTAGTAATTCTCTTGTAGTGGAGACCACCCCCACTTACAAGGTCGTCTCTTCAGCTTGCCACTGACACCCTAGTTAGACGTTCCTTTGGGTCCCGCGGCACCGTCCCTGCCAGTCGGGTGAGGCCGGGAGGGAGACACGGCTGTCCTCTCTCAGCCTGGGTGTCCTTTCCTTCACGTTCGTCACCAGGCTGTCCCTGTGGCTGACTCCGGCTCCGCTGGGGGTGAGCTAATCCAGCGGAGCGTCACCACTTTACAGATGCAATAAAAGGGCTTCAGAGGTGGTAGGCGACTTGCACAAGGTGACAGGGCTGGGGGTGAGGGAGGCAGAGCCGGAGGGGCGGGCGGCGGCCCCCGGGGGGAGCTCTTCCTCCTGCGGACGCGGGTCAGGAGCCCCGCTGCGACGGCGCCCCTGTCAGACGGAGGCAGGAGACGCGGCGTCGCTGCCTCCTGTGCAGGGGATGGAGGCCACAGAGTCAGTAAGAGGTTCCGAGCCCAGGGGCTGACCAAAAAAGGAAAATTATTTTGTGAGTCACTGAAAAGTGAACAGAAAGAGTAGAAAACCATGTGGAGACAGAGTCCCTTTGGCTTTTAAGACGTCGGGTTATTTTAGGCCCCTTGGAGCCCGTGCGACGCTGTGAAGGGGACATCGTGGCTGCGCAGGCCAAGTCGACTTCCTTCCCGCCGCCGCTGCGCCTGCGTCCGCCGTGTGGGGCTGGCCCTGGGCCTCCCGGGGCGGCCCTGAGGATCTGCCGACCCCCGATGGGCCCCGACTTGCCCTTGTGTAAAACGTGGCCAGGGTGGGGCCCCTGTCGCGGGTGGGCCCTGTTGCTGGCCATCCCTCTGTGCCCACGGGGCGTGCTCTGTGCACTTGGCACCATTTCATCCTCACAAGACTCTCCGAGGGGGGCGCTGCTGACCCCACTTTGTAGAGGGCGCGCCCGGGACTAAAAGGAACTAAGGTGACCTTTCTGGAGGACACATAGCTAGTAAATTGTATGCCAGGATCCCACGTGGCACCTGTCTGCCTCCAAAGCAGAGTGTGTCTGTCCCGCGCACCTGACATTTCCGCCTGCCCCTCGTGAGGTCACCATGATGACCTGATGAACAAGGCACGGGGCGGGGGGAGGGGCGGCGGGGGGGGGCAGCTTCAGAATCCTCGGGCTGCGAGGTCGGCCGAGGGAGCGTTGCTCCTCTGCGGGAGCTCGGCCGCTTCCCAGGCCTCGGCGGTGAGGTCCAAGGCAGGGGCCGGGCGGGGGCGCCGTGCACCCTGCTTCGCCGGCGACGCGTTGGAGGCCCGAGCGACGGACCCCTGACCTCCGTGACGCGTCCCCCAACCCGTGCGCACGGAGACCCCGGGGGCTGGGGGCGGTCACCGCTGTGGGGGGCAGTGATGCCGATGGCCATGTTTGTATTCAGACCATTCCTGTCCAGTGAACCCCTCCAACCCGTGCCAGTCGAACACGACTCTGCGCGCACGGCGACTCGTCTGGACGCGGCATCCCGAGCCGGCTGCAGGGGTGGGAGGGTGCGGGCGGTCCCGCCGCGGGGGCCGCCCTCTCGTGCCCAGCGCCGACCCCTAGCGGGGAATCAGGACGGCGAGTCTGAGGAACCTCAGCCTCTGCCGTTCTTTCAGCTCCATCCTGGTAAACAGACCAGGACTCTCCCGTGCTTTTCTAAAAAAGTCAGGTTATGGCGGTGACATGGGTGACTAAAATCACACAGGTTTCAAGGGCACATTTCTATGATCCGTCGTCTGCATACAGTGTGGTGTGCCCGCCGCCCAAGGTCAGGTCTTGTGTGGCCGTGATTTGACCCCCTCTGTCACCCCCGCCCCCGCCCCCGGGAAGCACCTGCGTGGTCAGCACGTTTTTGGCTGCCCAAAGGGGCAGCTTGGCGATTGTCTTATGATCCAGAGTAGTGTTTTCTGGGTGGGGGATATGAATGAGTCTTACTTGGCAGATTCGTTGAAGAATAACAATTACCTTACAAATGGCTGCATTGACTGGTTTTCTTGATCAGCTGAGGGCAGGGCCACCTGAAAGTATATGTTTGTGGGCAGGGAAGCCAGAGGGTCAAACCGGCAACCTGGCTGCCGTTTTGCTTTGAGTACTGAAGGAGACTTACTGTTACATAGAGTCACAGCTGTGACGCCTTGAGGAGCCTTCGCCGGGGACTTCCCCTTGGTGCTGCCGCTTCGCTCACGCCCCGTACGCACCTGTCAGGCAGCGGACGCTTCTCAGAACCATCACGGCAGCACACGGGGAGGGGCAGCGGCAGGAGTTCAACGCGAAGAGACAGCTAGATGGCCGCCTCCGATACGACGCAGGTTGGCGTCATCGCTGTGTGGACATGTCCCCTCTGACCACGTTTGTGGCACAGGCCAAACCTCTGGCTGGTTCTTGGAGCCTCTCATGCTGGCGTGGCTCTTACTCAACTGCAGTTTTAACCGCTATATTAAAGCTGTCTTTTACCACAGAAGCCCTGATGAGGCATGCCGTGTCTTGTGATTGTAGTTTAAGTTAATGTATCATGTTTTAAAATTAAAAATTGCTATCTTTTCTTGGCGCTATGAAGGTTGTCACAAAATTAATGACTACTATGTGAGAAAGGCATTCCAATTAACTTTCGTGGATGTTGATCAGATAAGCACTAAGATTTATGATTGTATTCCGAAATCTTTATTAGCTGAGTTCTTTGTTGCTTCGGGTAGCTTAGCGAGTGGTTTTCCAGCCCCTGGGAAGTGCGGCTTCTGAGTCGATTTTACAAGAGGCCTCTCGCTGGCTGAGGGCGGACGTCGGTTTTTGTCTGTCTTTGCTGCACAGAGAGTAACCATTGTATAGAGGTGAATTTAGTGTTCTTGGTTAGACATAACATCCGTGTATCATTTCTGTCTCTTCCACGGCATTTCTCACATATCCTGTTTTTAAAATTACAAAGTCATCTCTTTGTGGGAAAAGAATCTAACACAGCCTTGAATGTAGACTGCTGCTTCTGCCGCCGAAACTGAGCCACAACTGTGTAACCGCTTGCTGCGTATTTCTCCCGTTTCCCACGGGTGCTGGGCGCTCTGCGTACACATGTGCATGCATACACGCGGACGGGCTACGCGCACACACACGCCCCTCTTCCTCCCCGCCCGTCTCCTTCATGTGAGTGCTGCGGTGGCACCAGAGCAGGGAGGCCCCTCCGCGTGCTGGGCCTCACGGAGCTTCTTCCCCGTGGAGCCTGTAGGGGCCTGGCCCCTCCGCCCCGTGCCCACCGCCAAGGCTCAGCAAGTGCGGGCCGGGCTCTGCTTCTCTGTCCCCAGCAGCCGCCCTGGGATCCCGCCCAGAGCAAGCTCCCAGCCCACCGGGCTGCCTCTGCCCCGCCCCGGCGCCCCTGGCGCCCCTGGCCCTCGGGCTTCGTGCCCCGCGGGTTCCGAGTGTGCGCTTTCCTGGGCTTCCTGGGGAGAGCGCTCGGCCACCCCCCTGCTCGGCCGTTCGGAGTGAGATTTCTCCCGCAGTCCTGTGCCATTTCAGCCCCACCTGAGTTCTGTCTTCTGGAATTTTCTGAAAAGCATTGGCATGTTGGTGGAACTTGTTTTCTCCTCCCTATTGTCTTTGGGGGGGGGGGACAGAGGTGCCGCGGTGACTCTGGTGGTGCTTCCAGCCGTGCGGGTGCCTCATCTCCCCTCTGGCTCTGGTCCAGCGTTTCGGAGATCCTTTCAGGGCTTGTTTGCGGTGCCTTCGGTTTGCGTTACAACTCGAAGGCTCATTTTTCTTCCCATTTTTGTGCTAAGTGTTCTTCAAAACGACATCCCAGATGCTTTGCCACTTTGTCTGATGCCGTCAAGTCGCACGGAACTTTTTCCTGCGTTTCTGGGCCTCGCAGGCTGGACCGCGTGAGGCCAATTAATGATGCAGATTCACTGTAGAAGCTCAGGTGATCACCCGACTTGCTAGGTACAAATGTCGCTCTCCACGATATAGGTTTGTATTTCATTTGAAGGTGGCTGAATAGTGTCTGTTTCCTTGTTCAGTATCCAGATTAACTGGACATATAAAAAAAAAGTAACAGTAAATTTTTAAGGGGGCCTGGTCCTCAAGTGTCTTAAAATGATGTCTTAATTACTATGACAAGTGTGAGAGTCACTCAGCAGTGTTTCTTACCATCGTTGAGATACACTTGCCACACAGCACCGTGTGTTTTTAACATGTGGCCGCAGGAAGGAGAGAATATTTTCTACTTGGCGGTGGAAGACATAGACACCGACACAGAGCTGCTGATCGGCTACCTGGACAGCGACATGGAGGCCGACGAGGAGGACGAGCCGCCGGTCGCCGCGGGGACCCAGGAGGGGGAAGGTAAACACGCTCGAGGTCGGCACCTGGGGGGACAGGTGCGCCCTCCGACAGGATCTGTGAGGGCAGAGGCAGGAGAGAGACAGACCTGGGGTGCGCCAGGGCGGCCTTGTCAGGGGCTTGCCCAGCACTGCTCTCTGAGGGGGTCCAGCTGTGTGCCCCCCTTTCTTCCAGCAGGAGGAGCATGGTGGCGCGGGGTGGGGGGCGGGGATGCACCCAGCATCGCTGCTGCCGTGGCCACAGGGAGCTCCCCGCCGGCCGGTGCCCGGGGCAGCCAGGAGCGAGGGCCCCATCCCCAGCCCTGGACCTGCCGCCTGTGACCTGGCTGGCCACTGCCTCTCTGAGACTTGACTTTCCCACCTGCCTGCGGGGACGGCAGGTGCTCAGGTGCGCGGGGGGCCGCACGGGACTACCCGGGGCCTTGCTGTCTCGCGAGTCTTTGAGAGCCTGGCGCCTCCGGAACGCTCCTTCTGCTCTGATCGCAGAGGCCTGCGGAGGGCCCCCGCAGGGCCGCCTGCAGCTCGCGAGGACCGCTGGTCAGACCTGCCCAAATCTGTCCCGCGTCCAGGAGGTAGCAGATCCCACCGCTGGTCAGCAGCCGGGGCCACCGGGCCCGGTTCTCTCCAGTCACCGCGGGAGTAATGTCTTCTGTAGGAGTCCTCTCTGCCCCTGGCTGGGAACGAGGCGCCTTCCGCTGGCCACTCGAGGCTTGTTTCTTTGTTTCACTTGGATAGTTCAGGGGAAGCTGAGGACAGATGGGCTGTTCTGAGTTTCAAATATGCACGACACCGTGTGGCGTGTCAGACGTTGAGTGATGGGAGGGTTTTTGTATTATTCTGTGTTTCCTTTGTTTCTGTGTTTGTTCTCTGCCTCCATTGCTCCGCTGAGCATGTTGTTCATTGTGTCCATTATTTAAACTTAAAATCTCCTACTTGTGTATTCCCACCCTGTTTCTCTTCGGTTAACAAAGTATCAATTTTCTTTGTTTCTGTGAAGAAGAATCAACAGAAAATAGATTTTTAAAACATATGATTTAGGTACTTATAATGTTGCTATTTTTGCTTTAGACTTTGGAGTTTTGTTTAACCAAACCAAAACCAACCAACCAGCAAAAGAAACAAAAGAAAACCACTCCGATGTTTAACAATGGAGAGTTTTGTTACGTCAGTTATGGTACCTTCATTTACAGTGTTTTTTTAACTTTTCCATTTTAAATGGAAAAAAGAGCAGCACGTAACTGCATATAAGGAGCAACCACACATGGGGCTTTTCCTGGGCTGCGCATCAAGCGAGATGCGCGGAACCCACATCAGAAGCAGACAGTACCACCGGTCTCTTCGTCATTGGGGATTATTGGTCGTATTTATTTTCTTCATATTTCCTGCATTTTCAAAATCTAATCTCGTTCGGTCATTAGAAAAAAATACGTCATTTAAATATGCACCTTGGGTAGAGCTGTTCCTGAGGGTCTGACCGGCCGGCGGCGGGTCACCTGCCTCCCCGGCGCCCGGGCCTGCCCTGGGACCTGGGCCGTCTCCCGTGGACGGGCCGTTCCCCTGGTGATGCAGCATCATTTTCCTCTTTGTGCAGCTAAATGTGAACTCAAGATGACCCGTTTCAGGGAGAGCTTTTGCTTTCCAGTTCAGCAGTTGTGATACCGTAGCTATTTAAATGGAACAGTTAGCATTACAGGGTGAATCAAAAATTGATTTTGTAAAAATTTGGTAGAACGTGAGTGAAATGATTTTAAAAAACAGTGTATTTCTCTCTAGTAACACTTCCTGTTATTTTCCATGGATAACGCTATGAGTGCGCACAGAGGCAGCGAGACTTCACGGTGCCGGTGCCACTGAACACAGTGAATGGGGTTTTCAAATGAGGGGAGACCCGCGCGGCCCCTTGCAGGGCCGCCCGACGAGCCCGTGTCCTTCCGCTCGCGCAGGCTGCTTCGGCTGCGACGGGGACCGCGCCTGCCCGCAGTGCGAGTCCAGCTTCGCCAGCGAGGAGGTCCTGGCCGAGCACCTCCTCAGCCTGCACCAGACGCCCCGCGAGGAGAAGGAGTTCAAGTGCAAGGGCTGCGGGAAGACCTTCCCGGTGAAGCAGGCCCTGCAGAGACAGTGCGTACCCGCGGCGCGGCCTCCAAGCTGCGCGCCGGCCTCCGGCCGCTTGGGCCTCGCCTGCCTGCGCGCGTGTGCGCGACAGAGGCAGACGCGGGGGGCGGGCGGCGGGCAGGCATTCCCGTGTCAGCGCCCTTAACTCACCTTTTCTTCGGATAGTTGGTGGACTCTTGAAACGTCCTGGTTAGGAATTTAGCGAGTGACCCTTGCTTGTGCGGGTCAGCCTTTGTGTCCGCCTGCGCCCAGGAAACCACGGGACCGCTCCCCTGAGCTAGACCCGCGGAATTCAGCGGGCGCTGGGGGGGGACCGGAGGCAGGCGGCGGCGTCCGCACCGAGAGCCCCGCTGAAGTCGGCCCAGGCGCGGGGCTGGAGCGGCGGCCCTTCCCGGGGGCTCGGAGGGGTCGTTCAGGGAGGGGCGCCTCTGCTGCTCCACTGACTTAGTAACAGCACAGGCCATTCTTCCTCCTCTTGAGCGTTTACGGTATCGCGAGTTATTGAAATCGAGAGAGTAGATACGTATATTTGTAAACTTCTATTTTTAACAGAATGTCACTTTGCATATGCGCAAGAAATCTTTACCATAGGCTTCATACTTCATTTTTTTATTCATTAAAGTAAAATTTTGAAGCAGGCTGCATTTCATAGGAAGACTGTTGCCATAGGTTACGTACCTCCATTTTGGCTCATGAAAAGTGAGATGAAAAATTTCTGCTCAAAACTTAAAAACTGAAATCTGTTAAATTTTTGTAATAACAAGAGATTAAACATTTGGAAATTCTGTTATAAGCCCCTAAAAAACAAAACAAAACAAAGGCTATACACTTTAAATAGACGTTATTGCTGCCTTCCAATCAGCTTTTCTTGAATTTAGTATTACATGTGCTACACTGAAGACACTTTTGCTAAAAATCTTAAAGGGCACAAGACAGAATGAAGAAAGAGGTCACGTGCATGACTTTATTCAAAGCAGAGGTATTTTCGTAAGTTGTGATCTTGGATTTGTGGTTTTTGTTGCTTGTCTCTGCTGTGACCCCCCAGCGTCCTTCAGTGCCCTGCGAAGAGCCGTCTGAAGGATTCTTCCAGAAGTTTCCAGTGCTCCGTGTGTGACTCCCCCTTCAGCTCGGCGTCCAGGTTTGTGTCGGAGGGAGCCGAGGGCTGTCACGGGGTACGGGTCATTTCGGGGTGCACGCTGTCTTGAGGCAGTGAGTGTCGGGGCTCCAGACCTGAACCGCCTTCCTTCCACCTGCCCCGGTGACGCGTGCAGTGACCGTGAGCACGTGCTGGGGGCAGGCGTCACAGTCCTCCCCCTCCCCCGGCCCGGCCCCTGTCCCGCAGTTGTGAGCAGCACCAGGAGACTTGCCGGAGCAGAGCCAGGTTCGTGTGCAAGGCCGGCAGCTGTGGGAAGAGGCTGAAGAGCAGGGACGCCCTGAGGAGGCACCAGGAGAACGTCCACGCGGGTGAGAGGGCCCGGGCGCAGCGGTGGTCCCCTGCGGTCGCTGTGGAGTGGGGCGCGGGCCTCTCCCCCGCAGTGCGTGCGGACGTGGGCCTGGCCGTGGCCGTCTCCCATCACCCAACGCTGTTTCCTTTTTGAGTTGATTTCCGCAGAATTTGTCATTTTCCTGTCTCAGTTCATCAAAGCTGGACACCTACGCTAGAGTCTAGTTGTGCTTGGTAGTCAAATGCAGTGGGGTTTTTCAATGGTAATTACGCTTCATCTTATGGGATGTTCCTTTTAGTAGATTTAAACTATTAAGTGATGCTCTCTACCTTCATCTGTTTACAGTAAAATTCTGTTTTTAATGCCTCTCCTTCTCCTGTGTTGGAGAAAAATACCGCCTGCATTTTCAGATGGGAATTGAGTGTTTGGATGAGTAACTTAGAATTCTTCATGGCTGGGTAAACAAGGAAGCAAGCGTAACGTGGGACTGTCACTTAGCTTTCCGCTGCTTGGCACACGGCACAGCGCTTAGGCCCAGGGATCGGGCCCATTGCGCCGCGCTGAGCAGGGCAGGTGGCGGCGGCGTCGGGGCGAACCTGCCGCCCCGGACCCTGACCTTGAAGGAGGCAGAGGTCCGCGGTCCCACCTTCTGTACCCACACTTTCCCCACGTGCGTCCTGTGGCCCTTGGCTTCCGGGAAGGGGGCGGAATGGCTCTTCCGGACGCGAGGACCCTGGATGTCTCTTCTCCCGTCCTGTGTCCTCACATTCAGGAGACAAGGATAATGGTGTCAGCCTCGGTCTCCCGTGGTGGTCCTTGGGTGCTAATGCCCTAGGCACCGGTGTGAGCGTGGGTGCTGGCCCCCACGTGGCGCCTGGCCTGGGCGGCGCAGGTGTGAGCGCTGGGTGAGGGCGCAGGGAGAGGGAGAGGGGACCGCCTCGCGGAACAGCTGCCGGGGGCGGCCGCGGCGCGGATGTGCGGGGCGCCGACGCGTCCCCTCGGGCGACTGTGGCTGACTGAAGGGAGACGACGTTTTTCTGGGCTCGGGGTTCTGGGGCCTTCCCCAGGCTGGTGAAAGCAAGCCTGGCTTTTTGACAGACCTGTCTTCCTAGGTTTTTTAAAAAGCTGTGTGTTTAAAACGCTGTTCTTAATTTTCTCCATCTTTGTCTGTAATGCATTATAACAGATCTTTCTTGTCATTCGTAATGTTAGCTCTGCTGAACTAAGTGAAATGCCAGATGCTCGCGGGAACTGTCCCTGGAAACTTGCGTCCCCGCTCGTGACGGGGCATGTGGCCCTCAGGCTGTCTTATGTAAGCGTCATTTCTTTGAGGCTTCTTGTAATTGGCCTTGGATATTATAATATGACTCATTCAGGAAGCTCGCGGTGGTTCTGTAGGAAATAGCTGGCCATACGAAGTCTTTATTTTGCCACGCCGTGGGCCGTGGAAACGTGGAGCTCACTGTGCCTGCCTTTCGCTGGGGCTGGCTCACAGGCTGCTCACTCCTCGCCTCTCTCTGGCCCTCCCTCCTCTCTGACCGACACAGACTCTTGGGGAAAGGGTAGGCCATATTCCGAAGCGGAGCAGTGTTCACACATGGGGTTGTAGAACCCTTGACTAGAAAGGCAAGTATTCCATGAAGGAGAAAGACAAGGTCTTGCCGCTTTTACCGCTGATGATGACCAATTGTTCTTGTTAGTGATATGAGCTGAAGATGCTGAGAAGAGAGAAGGTGAATTTTTAGGTGAGCATCACATTTTTCCATAGAAACTGTGCACGGGGTGGCGGGGGTTCCCAGCCCAGCTCCCAGAGGCGAGTGTGGCCCACCCGTGCTGAAACTTGTGGAAACCGGGCAACGGTGTGTTCCATCCTGTTGTGTTAACGACGCATCTCTAAACTGTGTCAGTAATGCGTTCCTAATATTTTTGAAAATTGAATATGAAAGTCAAATACTAGATTTACCTGAATACAGGAAAACTAAACTGGGTCAAAGACTAGTTTTGGCTTTGTGGGTGCTGTTGTCCTTGAACCTAGAGGTGCTAGTAGGGAGGTGAGAACCTTCAAGTCGCCCAGCAGGACACAGTGAAGGGGCTCACTTCCTGACCCCAGTGCCCATCCCCTCCTTTGCGCGGAGTCTCTGGGTGCCCCTGGGAGATTTTGTATTTATGGGAGACAGTTTCTGTCCGTATGCTCAGGTGATGGTCGTAAACTGTCCCCGTATTTCTTCTCAGCGGAGGGAGGACTCCAGTTCCAGAATGAAGACTAGAAGATGAGAGGGGAGACGCAGAAACACTGCAGCCGGTACCCCTCACTCTTCTCACTTAAATCGTGACAGCCTTTTGTTTCTATTTTAGGAGATCCTAAGAAAAAGCTCATATGCTCAGTGTGCAGTAAGAAGTGTTCTTCAGCCTCAAGCCTGCAGGAGCATAGAAAGGTCGGTGAGATAAAGATGAAGGCTCCTCAGAGCGGAAGATTTTTTTAAAGTCACGTATGGCATCTGCCATGGACATCTACGTTGATTTTTTATATTGTAAAGACAGAGCTTGTCGTCAACTTAAATACAGACACGTTGCAAAATGCGAGACTGATAGAAGAGTAGGTTCTTCCAAAGACCGCTTTGAGTTACTGTCCAGGATTGATAGGAAAGTTTCTTGAATGCAGTGTTGTGTCTGCTGAGTCCTCACCTACAAGCTTGACCGGTTGCTGTTAGTTCAGATCTTGGTAGAGCTCAATCCCAGCTGGCAGTGGTGGAGCACAGCCCCTGAGCGGTCTTTGGGATACTGATGACCGATTAGCTCAATGCGGCATTTCCCCCATGGCAGCGGAGCTCTGCTATCTTAGCCCTTTCGAAGCCCTACGCAACTGTGACTGACTCCTGTAGTTGGGCACATCTAAGGTCTCATAGAGGTTGGTTGCAGTATTTCACATTGCCAGTAGGTGGTGCTCTAAGATGATGTCAAATTACATTTTCAGCCAGCGTGGTATCCTACATTGCTATTTACTATTCTACGCTGCAATAAGATATACAGTGATCCTTCTAAAAATCACTTAATTTGAGACTTGAAATTTAAGTTATTACCCTCCATACCGATTTAGTACAGTGGACATTTTATGAAATGTATGTTACTCGGCATTAGGCATAAATAAATAGTATTAGCTATCATTTTCACTTTATATCTGATTGTTCTGTTAAACCTCTGAAAGAGTTTTTAAAATAGCTTTGGCCTAAATTTTCCACAGTAAATAAGATGAAAAATGCTTTCGTGCACAGTAAATACTTCTATTTTGTAATCTGGGGACTATAAACGTTCAATCCAACCTTTTAAAATGTTTCATATTTCAGAAGCCGTGAGCATTAAGGAGTAAACAAGTATTATTCTGCAGTATTTTTAACAGTTTCCATTTATATATGCATTAATAATTTTTTATATTTTATAGGCTAATAAAAGCTTAACATTAAAAATGAAAATAAGGTATATGATTTCATTTAGGTATGTCCGAGAAGGCATAACACCTTTAGAGTATCTCGTCATTAGAAAGGGTGTTGTGGTGTGTTGGAGAAACAGAGTTTAAGAATATAGATCTGCTCTCGCTGTCTGTAAGTAGACAGTACCGGCCAAAGGAGGTGTCCAGCCGGAGCCTCGGGGCAGGCTCTGCTGGTGGCAGGGCCTGCCTTTCAGAGGTCCGAGCCGGGGTCTTCTGCCTGTGCCACGCGGTGCCTGCCCTCTAGACGCCTGGCAGACCCCGCACTGCTTGCTGAGGGACTGTGGAGGTCTCTGGACTCCACTCCACTCCCCGGTCCCCGGTCACATGAGCTGCCCCGGCACCTAGGGGTGGAAGCCAGACTTGCGGAACAGCACCTTCCTGCTTCTGCCTTTTCCGCTTTTCCCAGCGGAGTCGACAGACCCACCCAGAGTCGGCTCTGCCCGGAGCAGGGGCCGGGCTGGCAGCCTCCGACCTGCCGTGTGCTTGGGCACAGGAAGAGTTAACATAATACACTAGTGCAATTCTTTACAGAAAGGGTAGATTTAACATGTACTGCCTAGGTCAGCAGTATTGCATATTTAAACAGTGTGCACTCTTATGTGCTTTCAATGACATGTTTTTACTCAGTAACCTATGCTCATTGCAATTTCAGTTGATGTAGGATGGAATGAATACCTTAGGGCTGAATGATAGTATACAGTTTGGTTATTGCCGTAGCAGCCGTGTGCCCGTTTGTACTTTTACTTGGGTCCTGTATAATTTATTTGGCTTTGACAGTTGATTTAACCGTCACTTTAACCTTTGGCAGATTCATGAGATATTTGATTGTCAAGAATGTATGAAGAAATTTATTTCAGCGAATCAGCTGAAACGTCACATGATCACTCACTCAGGTAAAGTATATTTGTTTTATTTATACTGAAATCACTACCGATGCCCACCCTGTCATCCTCGGGAGCTCGCCGAGGGGTGAGCAGGGCCCAGGCTGTTCGTTTTAGCTCAGCGGGTCCCTCACAAGCGATTCTGAACAAGTTATGTCACTTCCCCAGACCCCTGCCTGCTGCTCAGAGCAAAGGCGGTGGGACGAAGCAATGGGGGACCTTCGAAGGCGCCGCCTGACTTGTCCCTCGGCCCTCCTCGAGCCGCGGTGCCTGTGGTCTCATCTGGGGGGCGGGCGCCCGCGCGTCGGGGCGGTGGTTGGGGTGGAAGGTCAGGCGCCAGCCGTCCCAGCCGAGGGCCCGACACCCAGCGGCCTGGCAGCAGCCACGGTCCCTGCATCCCGGGGGCTTTGGCGTTCTACCTGCGGCGCTAATAAACGTCAGTGCGCGGTGCAGATGCGTTTTCAAAGCCATAGTTTCATTTTCAGCAAGTTTGCATGATAAATAGGTCTGTTACACAGATTAAAAAAAAAAATCAACTCTGAAAATAATTTTTGCTTTAGGAAGTCTCTTTCTAGACTTTAGGGTGTCCCTACCTTGAGGCCATGAAAGTCAGTGTTTTTGAACATCCACTCAGTCCGGAGACACACAGAGGCACTTTGGCGACTGTCCCCGGGAGGCTGGGAACACGGGCCCTTCTGGCGTGCTCTCCCTGAGACAGAGGGTATTTTTTTAGGCCTCGCTGTCAGCGCCCGCTGGACACTGTGTGCGTGGGGTTTTTCTCAACCGCCTGAGTGTGTGGTTTCCGCAGAGACGCGGAGCCCTGTTTGTGACGGTGGGGGCAGGCGCGTCCCCTCTGTCTGTCCCCGTTGGGCCACCCCGGCGCTGCAGTTGGGGCCCTGATACACACGCATACCGACTGGCAGGGTTTTCATTGGGAAGAAGGTTTCCTCACTGAATTTAAGTCGCTCTGCCCAAGCGACTTTAGACGTTAAAAGAGCAAACTCGCGGTCTGAGCCTGAACAGGCCCGTGTCGGCGCAGGTGGGGCGGGCGGCGGACTTTGTTCGGTCGTGCTGATTGCGTTTTAGTGGGCACATCCATAAGAAGTGACGTGAGGTAAGGCCGTTTCCCTTTTTATCCTTTACTTTATGTAGATAAAATTAGATTATTGTCTCCACTCATTTTTCACAGAGAAACGACCCTATAATTGTGAGATTTGTAATAAATCTTTCAAGAGGCTCGACCAAGTGGGTGCCCACAAAGTAATCCACAGCGAAGACAAACCCTACAAGTGCAGGCTCTGCGGAAAGGGGTTTGCCCACCGGAATGTTTACAAGAATCACAAGAAGGTAAAAGCTTGTCATATGGTCACTTCCTTTTCTTGCCGATTTGCTGACATGATTTCCGATTGTTTGTCTTTGAAGGCGGTCTCCCATGTCTGGCGCAGGCCGTCCCCAGAACAGGTGGAGAAGATTGTGCTGCAGTGTCAGCCCTCACTCGGGCCATGTCCCCGGGACCCCATTTCTGTCTTCATTCTCTGTTGAAACCGCTGTCCCCACAAGCAAAGTGTCTTCCAGTCCTTGTAAGACCTGGGCTAATTACGCAGCCTCTGTTCCCCCCTGCCTTTCCGTGACCTCGGACGTGCTGCTCCTCCTCCTTTCTGAAGCGCGCTTCTCAGCGGTGCCATCGCGGTCTCTCTGGGCGCTGGTGCCCCTCCCCAGGGGGTCCTGGGCGCGCCGGCTGGTCCCCTTCTGTCTTCTCTGGGACCACTGCAACCGTGGCTTCTGCTCTCCACTCTCCACTGGCAAATTCTAATTGCTTTTTAATCCCAAGCGTCAGACGCGCATTTACGGCTGCTTGTCGGGCACGTAGCTGGGCGCCTTTTTGACCCAGCGAGTAGGGCTGGTCCCAGGAGGACCCCCTGCCCTTTGGGCTCCGATAAACTCCTTCCGGAGTTTCCTATTTCTGCGGATGACAAAAGCATAGCGTGGCCCCTGCGTCTCCCTGGAGCCGGAGCCCCTGTTTGAAAGCAGAAGGCTGCTCTCAGAGGTCCTCCCTCTGCAGTGTCACTGCCGTCCCAGTGACGTGCTGCCGCCCTGCCCCCGGGGACCGCACACCGTCATCACGCGAACGCCTGCCACTTGCCACGGCGGTCGCTCCTGCCAGGGAGACCGCCCTGGAGCGCACCTGGCATCTCCCGCGTGTGTGCTCGGGGCCGCGGCTGACTCCCGCAGCCGCGAGAAGTCACAGCGTACGCGCCTCGCCCGTCACCCGGGTCCCTGCGCCGTGGCCTCGGAGAGCTTCTCCGGCTGCCTGGGCTTCAGTCCCTGCGTCGCCGTTCCTAACACAGCCTGACACCCGCCCTCGCCCGCGTGGCCCCTCCAGCTCCCCGGGGCTTCCTCCTTTCCGGCAGGACTCTCTCCCAGCTGCCGTCCTGCAGTCTCCTCCGCTGGCCTTCGTGTTTCCTGCACTGGACTCGCGTTCTCGTTCCGGAGTGTGTGAGCTTTGCCTGACCTCCTCGGGGTACATACAACATAGCGTTTGAGTGGAATTCAGGAAACTTGTTCAAAGAGATGACGTCTTAGAATTGTATGTTAAAATGTATTGGTGATATGATAAATATTTGCTCGTTGATTTCGGTTGGTAGAGGCATGCTGTTAAGTAATGTGTATACACACTTTTAAAATAACTCGTTACTTTTTTTGACCCCCCCCCCCCCCCCCGAAAGCTGAAATGCTGATAGTCTGCCGTTGACAGGAAGCCTTACCCACAACATAAACAGTTAACACTTATTTTGTAGACTATATGTATCATATACTGTGTTCTTACAATAAAGTAAGAAAAAGAGATGAAAAGGGAAAAGAAAATGTTAAGAAGCCCGTAAGGAAACAAAAATGCATTTACAGTACTTACTGGAAAAAAATTCCACGTGTGCATGGACCCCCCATCGAGTTCAAACCTGTGTTTTTCAAGGGGCAGCTGTAGTCACTTCAGTATTTTTGCGGGGACTCTTCAAAGACATCTTTTTTGAAATCATTTAAAAAGTTATGATTTCAGTTTCCGCTTCAGTCTAAAAAGAAAAACAAAAGGCAGAGTTGCCACAGGATGAGCCTGGGCCCCGGGCGCTCAGGCCGTCTCTGCCCCGTTTCTCGCTGCCGCCTCCCTGGCCTGCGGCCCGTGCGCTCGGGGCAGGAGCCCACCCGCGCCGGCCGCTCTGGGACCGCGTGACTGTCACTCGCCTCCGGCCAGCTTCCCGCTCCGTCTGTGGAGCTCGCTTGCTCTCTCTTTGACGACATCGTCACAGTGTGGCGGGCGTTCCGCGCCACGTGGGGACCGGGCCCAGGCCCTTGGCACCGCCTCTCCGGCTTCTGGCCATAAATCGCGCGAGGCGGGTGGTGGTGTCTCGGAAGGACGGAACCCGCGATGCCTGTCGTCCCCAGAGGGGGCGCTCAGCCCCGCTGCAGACCTGCGAGCGGCCGTCTGCCAGGGCTTCGGGAAGCTGCCTGAGGTCGTCTCCAAGGCTTAGGTGAGAGGAGGGGGTCAACTGCTTTCCCTGTCGTTATCCCTGCGCCGCCAGCGGAAGTAGGGCTATGTAAGGAAAGCAGGAAAAAACCAGTAAGAGTCTGACCAAAGGGTCTGATCGTCACCGTGTAGCCTGACCGAAGGCTTATTTTAAAGTCAATTGACTCCTTTTGGTTTTTGATTATATAACCCGTGCATTTTTACTGAACTTATTTGATTTATTTTGGGGTGAATTATTTTAACATTTAGATTTGCTCGGGAAGGGAATAGCCTCTTTCACTGTGATTCTGATAACATGTAGTGAGATTTTAGGAGGGACTTGTTTCTAAAACTGAGCTACCTCACCCTCCTGCCAGTCACATCGGTCCGCGCCGCTCTTCCGGGTCCCTAGTCCTGCGCGGTCATCACCGGACCCGATTTGTCGTTGTGCTGTGGGACCCAGCCAAAACGGGGATTGCCTGGGTCCGAGGATGCTTAGAGCCTGCAATCACAATCGGACAGGCGTTTCAGAACCACGGAGACAGGAGCATCTCACTCCGTCTGCATCCCCCACTTTAGTCCCTCACAGACTGGGCGCATAGCAGAATTGGGGCGAGGGGAACCGGCTCCCATAGGCTGGCCGTGGAGGCGGGTGGAACGAGCCGAGATTCTGGAGCTGGCGACGCGAGCTCGGTGCAGGGGGGGGCATGCGCTCAGGGCTTCGGTCCTGATGAAGTCACGAGCCAGCCCCTGGGGACAGAGGTGCGTCTGGGCTAATAAAAGACCCTTTTTCTTGACCCTGTAATAACCTCCCGAGGCAAACTTTTAGAGGCCCGTCGGGACCTCTCATCCTGCCCCAGGAATAAGTCATGGGACCGTGTCATGCCGTGCTTTCCAAACGCTGGGCTGCGACCACTTTGTGGGTCTTGAAATCAGTTTAGGGGTCCATGGAGAGCCATTGAAAACATCACAGAAAGTCTAAGAATGAGGGTCATTTAATGAAATAATGTGTCTGTGTGTTGGATTTTCATTACAGAATGTACGTCTGGCCTCGGTCAGACGGTGTGAAAGATACTGAAGATCAGACAGGTCGTTCTCTTACTAGACCATGGATCAGGTTCTAAGGCGGTAGTGTATGACCTAGGTTCTACATAGGAGCAAAACCAAACAACAGTCCTTGAAAGTCTCTTCGGGCGGCGCCGTGCCGGCCACGCTTCACTCCGGCTCTGCATCAGCATTGCTGCCGCCTTGTGCGCTGCAGGGGAAGTGAGCGACCCTTTGCGGGGCTGGTTGTACAAAATCACCCCCCGCCTTGTGGTCTAGAAAAGTAGGGCGATGCGGTGTGTTCCCCGGACAGTAGGGGAGAGCCAGGGTAGCTGTCCCCTGCACCCAGAGAGCTTTGCTGGGGGGGGGGGGGAGGCGCTTGTGAGCACCCGTGGCAGCCGCGGGGCTGGAGCGTGGAAACCTGCCCACGGGCAGCGCACTGCGTGGCGAGGCCCCGTCTGAGGCCTCCAGGTCGGACGCCCAAGGTAGCATCCCTGCGCAGCGTGGGAGAGGGGACGGTCCCTGAGTGGGGTCCAAAGCGCTGTCCTGGAGGAAGGCTTCCTCTGAGAGCCTAAGGCTGTTCCTTCTGTGGGCAGTGCCCCGTTGCCCTCTCCGGGGTTCGCCCGAGGCCTAGGGGTCAGCAGCCGGCTCCGTGGACGCGGGCCTCGCACCCGAGGAGCCGTGCCTTCGGGGCGCCGCAGGGGGCAGGCCCGGCCTCGTGCAGCCCCGATTCCGTACGAACGTTCCCTGCGTGGCACCATCTTCATTCTCTGTGGGCGACCAGCTGCCTCCTCCTGGGCTGAGCTTAGAGAAACGGGCGTCTGCAACCCCCTCCAGCTGCCGCTCGTTGGGTGAGGGGGAGCCCGGAGAAGCCGGCCGTGACGCCCACGGCGAACGTTTAACTCACAGACGTCGTAAACAGCCACACACCACACGTTTAGGTTTATTACGTGACCCGTGGGATGGCAGTGTGCTTATGCTATGCAGGCTTGAGACTTCAATAACAAAACTTTTATTTTTTTAAAGAATAATTCTAACATATTTCTGGGGTATATTCTCCAAGTTTATTTTATCTCAGTATATTTCCCCTGAACTTTATGAAAGTTTTCTTGCTTTGCGTGACCTGCAGAAGAAAACAATTTCCAGTAAATTCTGTCACCGTGGAGCGATAGACGTTACAGACGGTCAAGGTTTTCATTTTTAACTGTGAATGGCCCTTACGAATGTTTTATTCTAATCTCATGAAATTAATATTTGATCTGTGTGGCTGGAAATGTGCTAATTTGGTAATTATTATATGAAAATTATGCTACAAACCTTCTGAGGCACTTTTGTGACATTTTATTAGGTGTTACAAATACCAGAACAAGTTTCCGCCTGCATTTTCTGCCTCTGCAGCAGTAATCAGACTGCTGCTCAAAAGGACCTGTTTCGTTGCCTGGGTTCGCAGACTCGTTCATCTGTCCTGTCGGCAGGGATCGGCGTCTTGAGTGACTTGGCATCGAGACAGGGATGTTCTGTCGCTCAAGGGTTAAGCGGTTGATGTTGGTGGAAACTGTCTCCCTTTGAAGCTGAGTCTCCTTTTAAAGAGCTACATTTTATCCGGCACTTGTGAAAAGCACCTTGGAGACAGAAGGGTCTGTCCGCAGGCGGCGTGTTTTTCCTCCGCCTTCCTCAGCGCAGCGGCCCCCAGGTCTTCCTCGCTGAGATGTTCCCGCAGCCACGTCATTGTCACCACAGCTCACTGAGTGGAGTCGCAGTCCATGACAAAGGCGGTTGTTCACCTGGCTGCGCACCAACACGTCCTGCTTCCCACTCGCTGTGGCCTTCAGGCCGGCGTCTCCCTGAAGCGGCTTCGGTTTGCAAAGCATTTTGCCCCCAAGTTCTTTCAAATCAAGCCACTAAGTCCCCCCCGCCAGCTGCTTTGCCCTGGCCTGGGAAGAAGGGGAGCATGACCGAGGGTTATTTTTGGAAGCCTGAGGCATCCCTATGCTTCAGACTTTTTGCCTTGCATTTTAAAATTTAATTCTGTCTCTCATACGAATATCTGGGTTTCCAACATGCTTAGAAAACCCCACTCAAAAATTATATTGAAATCCACTTATATGTTCTTCTAGTAAGCTCAGGGCTTTATTCCAAACTTTTAAAAAGACACCTGAATTGAAGTGGAATTTATCTTATTGTAAGGGGTGTAAAATAAACCGGACTTACTCTTTTCCTGGATGCCTGTAGAGTTGCCTAACAGCCATCTACTAAACATTCTATAGTTTTCCTGTCAATTTGAAATGCCATATTGTCCTATACTAAAAGTTGATATGTTTTATGTTCAATAAAAGAAATCTATTCCTTTTTCTCTTTTATTGATGTTTATTTCCACCTGCCATTTCAAATTTCTGTGGCTTAAATGGCACATTTAAATGTCTGTAGTTTATCCTCATTTTTAAGTATTTGTTTCTCTCACCCTTTCTCTATGTTTCTCAAAACTGAAACCAGGCACGATGACATCTTTCTCACGAACACTGTGTTCATAGGTAGTGAGTGCATCCTGAACGATATAACATTCATTGGGCTAAGACAATGTGTCAATCACTGTGTTATGAATAAAGTGATTTTCTTGTAACTTACCTCCTTTATTTTTATACCGTATGTATCGTAAAAGCCCATTGATTGTGTGATTTATTTTATTGTAGTAAGAGAGCACAGCGCAACGTTTGATACTGGTGTTATCTTGCTGTCCACAGTGGATAGGGTTTTATTCACTGATTGGCGCTGAATGGATTCATCCTGGGGGAGAATGGAAAACCGGTTTTTGCTCTGTGGTTTTGTTTTTGAGTTTTGAGTCTAGCAGGTGGCTTTCTCTTGCTTCTTGTTTGTTGATACATTTTGTTTGTTGCGTGTTTAAGGATGCTTGCTGCATCTCTGCTGTTTGGCATCTGGCAAATGACTGAGACTGTCCGAGCCCCAGTTTTCTCATCTGTAAATGGGGACAGTGATACTATTCTTACTCACTGAGTCTCCGCTAGAATTCAGTAAGATAATTCCTAGAACGTGTTAGCATCTGACAGAAAGTAAAAATTTAATGCGTGTTCCCTGTGTTAATTATAACATGATGCTCTGGTTTAATTTAGGGAAAAGCGTTGCCAGGGGGCGGTGAAAACTGGCCTGACGCCACTCACTGACCTCGCGGGGGAGGGGGCGGACCCTCCTGTTGATGGGCTGGCCCCGCACAGTCACAGCCTATGCTGCGGCGAAGGGGCCTCAGCCTCAGAGAAATCGCGCGTTTACCGGACCCCCAGGAGAGCCGGAGGGAGCCCGTGTGCGCTCAGAGCCGCGTGAGAGCGATGACAGGCACGGGTGCCAGCGCCGCCGACTGCCCTCCCGCTAACGAGGGGGCCTGAGAGGGCGGTCGCTGCCCCGGTGAGCACAGCGTGCTGTGCGAGTCGCTCCCGCGGGCAAGAAGGTCACCAGGAGAAGCAAGGCCCCACCTGCGGCCCCCGCTGTCCAGCGCCTGCCCCCGAACCCGCGCTCCGGCTCTGGGGGGACGTGGGACTCCGCAGGGTCTGCGTCCCGCTGACTCGGTGTCTCTGTCCACAGACGCACTCCGAGGAGAGGCCGTTCCAGTGTGAGGAGTGCAAGGCGCTGTTCCGCACCCCGTTCTCCCTGCACCGGCATCTGCTCATCCACAACAGTGAGTCCGCGGCGTGGGGGGGGCGTCAAGGGCCGGGGGGAGGGCCCGGGCCAGGCCGGGCCGGCCAACTCAGGTGGGGCTGCTGTGCACGCCGGGCTGGTCCTCGGCCCGCCGCCTTCTCGTCACTGGTCCTCGCTTCACTTTCCTACCATCGGATTACTTTATGAGACATTTTACTTTCCATCATGTCTTCCCATCAGTTCAAGTTTATGTCGAAATACATTTCCTGTGTTGGGTACGGTATCTTAGAAGTTTGTCCTAAAACAGACATTTGGTCCCTTGTAAATGTAGTGATTGACGTTCCGGGTGCCGCAGTCTTCTGTTCTGACCCAGGCAGCAGTTACGTGGGTGTACGTCTGTGCAAAACCCATCAGGATGTGGGCACATCCCAGTAAAAAATGCACGCGGTGAGGAAGGGAACAGGCCGACTCTGGTGTGATTTCACAAGCTCACAGAGTGTGAGGTTGGAAAGGTCGGAGTGCACGTCGAACTTGGACTCTTAGCTGGGGGAACTGAGATGTGAGAGACGCAGAGCGAGACAGGGGTGTCCCCAGGGCTCTGCAGCGTCGGGCGCGGCCAGGCCTCAAGGCCGCTGCCCGTCCTGCCCTGCCGGGGCCTGCGACGCCTCGCTTCTCTGCGGGGCAGGCGTCTCTTTCGACATGTTAGGCACATTGGCGCCGTGAAGGCGTACCTGGCAGCCACACTTGGAGCGGTTTTTAGACCGGCGGCAAGCGGACAGCCCCGCCCCCGCAGGACGGCGCTCTGTCCCAGGGGACACAGTGTCTCCGCTCAGCCAAGTGGTCAGGGCGCTTGTTGGTCAGGCGTCGAAGTGAACAGAGCCTTCCTCCACTGCGCTAAAATTAAAGACAAAAGGACACGTCATGGTGATACTTAGACTTCCTGCTTATAATTCAAATAGTTTAATCGGTAGAACATCACGTCTCTATTACACATGACATCTCTATTGCCGATTGAATTTTTAATATTTCTGAGGAAAGCAAAATAATCACTCAGTCCTGACAGCTGATTGCGCAGATGAGATAGTATCTTGGAAGAAGGCTTCTCTGGTCCATAGAAGCATCTAAGAATCAGTGTGGTGAAGCTGCTGAAGTGTTCGTGGCACCGAGGGCGGCGATGGTGACGAGATGCGCCTGGGCCCGTAGAAACGGTTGTGCTGTGACCTCGGGCTGTTCTAGGGCCACCTCGCGGCCCTGGGGACGTTCTCAGCACGTCCCCCTGTTCTCCCCATAAAGGACAGCTGCCCCTTTAATAGACAGTTGGCCGCACGACCGCAGGACTTTCTGCTCCACCTCGGTGTTGCTGCACGAAGAACAGCAGCTTCCCCGAGGAGAATGGCTTTCAGAAGGGGGACTCGGGCCCGCGAGCCCGTGTCAGCTGCAAAGGCTGATAAACTCGGCCTGGTGCTCAAGACATTTTTCTTGGGAAAGAGGACATTTTATTTTTAATACCAGCCAGGAATTTTCAGGAGAAGGGGTCGGATGCTTGGGATTTCAGCCTGTTGGTTCGCGTCAGCGTGAAGCCTAGGGCGGAGGTGCCTGAGGGTGGGCTCTGCTCGCGTCCTTCGCGTAATGCCGCGCTCGCGTTTCTGCACGTGAGCCGGTTAGAGTCGGGGGGCCGAAGGCCCGCGTTCAGTCGCCTCTGACTGAGGTATGGAGAGTCCCCTGAGTATTTTCTCTCAGTGAGTGTCTGAGAGCCGAGGCGGGGCCTGAGACCGTGCGCCGGGGGCCGCGGGGCAGGAGGGGTGGCGGCCTCGCTGCCCTGGCCGCCGCTCTCCGCCCTTGGGCCTCCCTCCCGCACGGCTGCCCGTGGCCCGGCCAGCCATACCCCGGCCCCGGAGGCCACAGGGGTGGCTGTGGGGTTGAGGGGAGACGTGAGGGGCCCCCAAGGCGTCTCACCCTGCGTGACAGAGGTCCTTTGTCACCATGAGACTCTACTTACTTCCCACCCCAGCCCCTGCCCTGGAAACTTAAAGTTCACGGTACCTGAGGGAAATGGCTTCAATCCCCACGGTTCCCAGCTGAAGGGGCCGAGACCCTAGGAAGGTTAAAGGGCTTCTTCCCCCTGTCGCACAGCGGTTCAGCAAATAGGGAACCGAAGTTTAGTGTGAAAAGTGACCTTTTACGTCGTGATAAGTGGTCAGAGCCCTGAAGCTAATGGGGGGGGAACAAGGCGAACCCCAGGGCACCCGAGGGCAGTAGGCGGGGCCCTGCGACCGCGTCTCATTTTTCTCTTATGCGACTTTTCGCCTCTCAGGTGAGAGGACGTTCAAGTGCCATCACTGTGATGCCACCTTCAAGAGGAAGGACACCTTGAACGTGCACGTCCAGGTGGTCCACGAGAGACACAAGAAGTACCGGTGCGAGCTGTGCAACAAGGCCTTCGTGACCCCGTCCGTGCTGAGGAGCCACAAGAAGGTGAGTCCGCCGTGTTGGCGGCGGGTCGGACCCTCACCCGACCGCGGGGGTGGGCGAGCTGTGGCGGGAGCCGCAGTTTCACGGTCCTTTACCGGCGTGTTTGCTCGGAAGGACGAGGAATGCGTGATTTCCGTCGGCGCTGCAGGAGGTGTCTGTTTTCTTCACTTTTTCAAAAAAGACGTTTTTCACGTGACAGTGAACCTGGAGCCAGGTGTGCGGCCACACAGCCCGTGCGGTGCCCATGAGGGGCAGGCGCCCGGGGAGCGGGAGCGTCTCGCTTGTTGTAGGTTTTTAGATTACACGGGTGTTTTAAAAAGAAACATGAAGTGCCCGAAGAATTGTATTTTTCCAAGCTATGGTAATTCGGAAGGTATTGGTTGGCCAAAAAGCCTGTATAGCTTTTTTTCCATAAAATAAAAAATAAATTTTTCATTTTCACCAATAACTTTATTGATTTGAATATTTTAAGTATGTTGGATATCACCTGTGTGGTGGTATAACGTTGCTTTTCTCAATTAATATCTCGAGTTGATCACTATCAACTTCAGCTGGTCTACCCAACCGTGGCGCATCATCCAGGGAGGAATCTCCAGCAGGAAACTTTGCAAACCACGTTTAACATGATCAATCAGTCACAGCACCTTCTCCATACCCTGCACACATATTGTTCTGCATTTCAGTTGCATTTTTACCTTTCTTGAGATAAAAATGCCGAAAACATTGCTTATTCCATCTTCAATACTAAAATGGCCACACAAAAAGTCACCAATTTTGATGTGTTTTTTTAATGCACACTGATACGGCAGCTGTAGCCCTACAAGCTAACAAAACTGTTTCAAGGGAAGGTAAAGACGGCTAAGCGCTCCTACTAGAGCCGTGCTACTGAAAAAAACGTGACGGTCTCTTTTGGCCAGCCCGAGACTAGCCCGAGACTCCGTGGGGGTTGCCGGGGTCCGCCTTCCCGCACCCCCGAGGGCCCGGCGTTCCCGCCCAGGGCAGGGTCTTGAGAAGCATTTGCTCAGGTTCAGTGATGTTTCTGCTCACAGCGACTTTGGAGATTGGCTTTGTGTGCTATGCAGATCACCTCAAGCAAATCAGCAGGTTATTTTTACCCGTTAAATAAGTAAATTCTAAGTACGTGTTTTAAAAGGCAGACTCCTTCCTGCCACGCAGCGGAAGGCGTTAATGTCAATGCGAGACAATGGTGAGGGGCTGGTCTCCTGACACCTGGCACAGCCCCGAGTGCTTGTATCTTTTCAAATGAGTGTTTGGGGTTTCTTCTAATATGTGCCCCGAAGTGGGACACTGGGTCGTTAGGCAGTTGCACCCTGATTTTTTTGAGGACCCGCCGGACTGTGTCCCACAGCGGCTGCGCCCCCTGCGTGGCCGCCGGCCGTGCACGGGGGCCCCCCTTTCTCCACGGCCTCGCCAGCACTCGCTGCTTCCTGTCTTCCCGATGACAGCCCTTCGAACAGGCGCGAGGTGTGAACACTTGCTTCTGACGACGCTCATCTCCCTCGGCGCGCGGTTCCGCGGGTGGCGGTTCTGTGCCCCGATTAAAGGGACGCGGGCGTCAGGAAAGCTGCTCTGCTCCACCCTGACCGCTCCGTCAGCTGCTGCCGATCGTGAAGGTCGAATCCGATTTATAGTCTTTGCTTTTGCACCAAATTAGTCTGGTCGGACAGGCAGGATGCAAGTAGCATTCCTTTATGGAGATTAATTCTGTCCTCAAGAGTTAAACACACAGAGAGAATGTGGAAATGCGTCCAGGGAAACGCTCCGTGGCAGCAGGCGGGCGGCCGCAGCCCTGCTCTGCTCACGTGCTGTGCCGTGTGCGCTGGCTCCGTGTCACTTCATCATTCTCTTCTTGGGGGGGGGCTGCTCCGCGAAGGCTTAAAAAGTCAACCGCAGAGTTATTTTCAAATGAGCACTAATGCGTGGTTCTAAAGGGGTTTCTTGAAGCAGTGGGACTGCCTGTGATAAATGGTTTAAAATCTCATTGTGATATTAAATCATTGTAATGAAACATAATCCAGGAAAAAAAGGATTTACCATTGTCAGAGGCACTTAATCATCTCGGCCTCATTCTTTACATTTAGCCTCAACCCTTGCTGTTCCCTCCCATGCAGACACACACCGGAGAAAAGGAGAAGACCTGCCCGTACTGCGGCCAGAAGTTCGCCAGCAGCGGCACTCTGAGGGTGCACATCCGGAGCCACACCGGTAAGCAGGCTGGACCCCGTGACACAGCTGACTCAGAGCGCGTTCTTCCAAGAAAAGGGACATTGGGATCTCACAAAATGTCTCCCGAGTGAAGAAGTCACCTTGGCTATTGTCTCTCCCTTAAAATTTAATGAAATCCGATTTTTGACTCTAGACACATTTGGAATGAGTCTGCTTCCCTCAAACGACGGGAAGAGTCTAGGGCAGAAGCGATTGATTGCCGTCTGGTGGCGATTCAGCTGCGATTTGCTTTGCCCACTATTCTAATGGGCAGGGGCGAGAAGGGCCGGCTCGCTGTGCGTGGAAGGCGCAGGGCCCGCTCTTAACAGCAGTCGCTCCCGTGAACTCAGGAAGGGGCAGCCCGTCCAGGCCCTGTCGGGGGACCCTCCCGTCACCCCAGCGAACACTTCTCCGTCTGTTGCGTTGAAAATCACAGGTGTGACCTGCACTTGGGCCTTCTCCCCACACGTGACTCTGTAACACCGTGCACAGGTCATTTGGAAAATGTTGTCTCGCTGAGTCGCCAGGTCTTCGTCCTCATTAGTGTCATCGCTGGCCTCGTTCGGCCAGTCCACCCTCCAGCCCGGGTAGCAGATAAAAGTTTTCCTCCAGTCTACATTTTGCTCGATTTCTCTAATTCTTGTATTTGGTGAAAATTCCTTCCTCCTGCCCTTCCCTCCTCCTTCCCTCCTTTCTTCCTTCTTTCCTTCCTGAAGTGACAGGCTCACTCCTTTGATACTCAAGTTCCCCAAGTACTCAAGTCCGAGTGGCTGCATTTGTCCGTCGGTCATTCTGTTTCACACGCAGACGGCGCTCTGCGAAGCACGCCGCCCGCTCCGCCCCTGCGGCGCACGCCTCCCACATGGCCGCTTCCGTCCGGGCCGCGCACCTCGCGTCCTCGTGGGTGCCCACCTCCCGGTTCATCCCAGCCGCCGGCCACGAGGAGCCCGTCCGTTCGGCGGGACAAGGTGGATCCCAGAGCAGCTGGATGGGCAGTGGGCGGTCTGGCCTGGGGGCTCCCCCTTCCGTTCGGCACCGCCCTCCCCCCTCGGCCGTGACCTGGCACATGTGCATCCGTCTGGGACTCCGCTTGGCCGAGAGGCCCGGCAGAGCAGGTGCCAGCTTTCACCCACGAGGGGAGGTGGGTCTCTCCCACAGCGTGTGCTTAGTGTCCACTGCCACGCGCACGGCCCACGATGCAGCTGAGACTCAGGGAAACAAGTGACCCGTCCAGTCCAGGTAGTGAGGCAATGACTTATCTGGTCAAGGACATCAAATCTGAGTCTTTCGACTTAAAATCCTATTTTATTTTTGTGTTGTCTCTTCTTTTTTGCTGCACAGCTATTATAATTAATTTACACAAGAGTTACGACATGTGGTAAGTTCTCCGGTATAAAAGGGGGGGGATGAAATTCTAAAAGGCTAACATTCTTTCAGCGATTTGACAGTTTTATGCTTTAGAGCCAAATGAGAGGTGTTTAAAAAAAAAGGTACCATCCCAGTTCACTACTTGTGAGTCCCCTTTTCAGGGGGCGGTAACATACAGTGAAAGGCATGATTAAATCTAGTTTCACCGGATTTCTTTTTTTTAAAGCAGATTTTATTTTCTAGAGTAATTGTGGGTTCACAGGAAAAGTAAGAGAAAGTTCAGAGATTTGCCTGCCTGCTGCTCCCCCCGCCGCCGCGCCCGCCGCCTGCCCCCCAGGCCCACAGTCTGCCTTCGGGTCCGCCCGGGGGCTGGACGTCCTGCGGGTTTGCACACACGTATAGTGACGTGCGTCCATCATGGTAAGGTCGCACAGAGCAGTCCCACAGCCCTAAAATCCTCCGGGCTCTGCCTGTCCATCCCCAGCCCCACTCCTGGCAACCACTGGTGTTTCTACTGTCTCCAGTTTTTTCCCAGAATGTTATATAGTTGGCTAGAGTACTTTTTTTTTTTTAATCTCTAGGAAACGATTATTCACTGATAGACCTTTTAGTGAGGTGACATACTTTTGAATACACTGCAGCTTAATGAGGTTTTTATAGAGGAAATAGTTTTTTCACTATTTTCCCATTATGTTGAAGGAGCCAATTTCATTTTGTTTTTATTGTATTTAAACTGTCCATCAGTATTTTGGGAAGCAAACTCTCTTTTGTAACTTCAGCCAAGTTTCGTGAAGAGGGAATATGACCGCAGTCTCGGTCTCTTCCTTCCCTTCTGCCGGCTGGGGTGGTTCTTCACTTCCTGTCCAGTAGGGCGGCGGCGTTGCGTTGTGTAGCATTAAAGGCAGGTCCCTTTATAATAGCTTTCTCAGAGCACGTCTTAGTTTATTGGCGCATGACTAGCGGTCATTCTATACGACAACGATAACTTAGCTATTGAACTACTACCTGTCTGTCCGTTCTGGGAGGAAATCTTAGTGTTAATGTCTCTGCTGAAATTTTTTGTTAATACTGTTTAAAGGAAACATTTAAAAAATTCCTCTGGTCCTTCACATTTTGACTGATTTCATCCTTTCCTGCCTGAGATAACCAACCAGTTGCCCCCTTGTCTCTCCTTCTGCCTTCTCTGTCTCTCTCCCCAACCCCCATTCCCATTCCCACCATCCTGGGGCAAAGTCCAGCAAAACTTAGTTTTTTTCCATTAATCTAGAAAATATTATTTTTCCTGGTTTTCATAACTTTGTATATGCCCTCTAAAGTCAACTCCTTATTCATAATTAGGTGATTAGAATAAGGCCGTGGACAGCAAATGCGCACAAGACATTTTCTTTTATAACATTCTTGACTTTCAGAGTAGAAAAGAATTTCAGAAAATTCCTAGTTCAAGCCTCTTAACTGAACCTCTGCCCATCAAAATACAGCGATCTGCTGAAGCCGCACAACTTGCGTGTGGTTCATCCAGCGCCTGCCTGAGGCCTCAGCTTTCTCCACTGTGCCCCCGGCTGGTATTTTCATTCCTGACCCTTTCCCAAGGCCGCCGCGCCCTTCCCGCTGCTCTTGAACTTACCATGAAATTACAGACATTCCTCCCATAATGCGAGGCTAGTACCTTGGCCGCCGACCGTTTGTGGAGGAGGGTCTCGACTTGGAAGCTCCAGACGGCGTAGTTCGTTGCGTATGGCCCGAGAACTGAACTCCACGGCGGAGGAGTTTGCCGGCCGCAGCGCCCACCCCCTGCGCTGCGCTGTTTCTTGGTGCTGGTTCACACGCAGCGGTGGGTCCCGGAGTCCGAGCGCGGGCTTTCAAACCCTCTTTACTTCCCTCCTCCCTGCAGGGGCCCGTAAGGTGCCGCCTCTTCTCAGGACGCCGCTGGGCCTTGCCAGGGCCTCGCCGCCTCCTCTGGAAAACGGGCAGGCAGCCCCGGTTCTCGGCCGTGTCCCGGGAGCGGGAGGGCGTGCGCGGCGCGCTGGGCTCCGGGCCGGGCGACGGCCGAGCCCGCCGGGACCTGTGGCCTCGCTGGGCTCTGTTTCTGCGGCTGCTACGGGGCCTCATCCCGCGCGGGCGCGCCCCCGGGTTCGCCGTCCGGCCTCTACTCCCAGTGTCACCGTCACCATCTCTTTTTGCCACCGCCGGTGACAGCCCATCTGTGAGCACGGCCGAGGGGCCGCTGCCACACGGGGCTGCCGTCACCCTCGGTCAGGGGCCTGGCCGGCGGCCCCGCAATCCATCATCGGTGTCCCGCGCGGGAGTGGCGGCGGCGGCCCCGTGGGTCGGCTGAAATGGTGGGGCGCGGGCCCCCGGGGGCTGCCGCTGCTTAGGGTCGGTGGGACCCGGGCCGATGCCGCAGGGGTCCACGGGCTGTGGCAGCGGCGCCTTCAGCGGTTCATAAATTACGAACGACATTCTCGGAACGGCTTCTGGGTTTGAGAGCTCTGGGCCAGGAGGTTAATTGCTTGCCTCCAGTGCCCGCGAGCTTCCGCGCTACTAGGTGCCGCGGAGCCGCCCTCCCACCTGCCCCGCTTCGCTCCAGGCGGGGCGCCCCCTGCTGCGGGAACGCCGCCGTGATAAATCACTGTCCGGGGCTCCTTGTTTTTTCAGGGAGTCCCTGCGATCAGCTTGGAAGTAAAGGACCAGTAAGTCGTCATTTGATTCTGCACGGATGTCAGCCGCTGGTTGTCTGTCTTCTCTAATACTTGTGCTAAAGGAATCTATTCATTCTTTTTAGAATATTTGTTCACAGGTTTGAAAAACAGTAGCTAGACGTAATTCTAAATAACTGTACGACAATGTGACAATTATTAATACAGAAAAATAGACAATAGAGTAATTATAAACACAAATGGCAACTTAAAGTACGTTTTTCACATTTTTATTAGATAACCCACCTATGATTGCTGAAAGGGGATTTATTTTGCCGTATTTATTTTCTAGGTGGTTAATTTCTATTGGTAAATTATTAGAGAATATGAACAGCACCCACTGTTAAATTTCCCTTTCACCCAGGAAAACTGGGGGCGGGAGCGGGGGCCGGGGCAGGGTTGGTTCCGTCCGACAGGCGCTTCCTCTGCCCTGGCTAAGGTCTCCCTTGAGCGGCTCCCTGTGCTGTTCCCTGCAATTCTGTGCGTCAGGGCTCGGCAGGTTTTACAGGCGCTCTGGTGTCAGGCGAAGGGAGTCGTTTTCGGGGGTTCTCGCTGCTCGGAGTCACCCAGCCTCGCTTCCTCCTGCGCCTGTGCTGGGAGGCCCTCTGGGGCAGGCGCCTGAGGGGTACCCGGTCGGCCACTCCGTGGGGCCTGTGCACCGTCTGTGCTCGTGAATACTGTGTCCCTAAAACCTCTGGTGGGAACCCTTGAGAGCAGGACACGGCGGGGGGAGTATCAGTGATTTTCCCACCGACGTCCGACCTCCTGACACCGGGAGCAAGTGGGTCACTGCTGGTGGCCCTGCGCCGCCCGCCCGGCCGGCCTGGAGGCGTCCCCCGGCCCAGCAGTGTGGAGAGCGCCCGGCGGCCTTCCTCTTGGTCAGGGCCCTGGAAGCCTCTCCAGGATCGGGGTGGCGCGGCCGCCTCGCCGGGGGTGGGGGGCCGTGGCCCTTGCTCCTGCCAGCCGGCGACAGAGGCCTCGCGAGGCTGGTGCGGCCCCTTCAGGGGAATGACATGCAATGGGCGTCCTTCACACTCCTGGTCGGCCCGAGCCAGGGCGTCCTCTGTGGGGAATCTCTTACTCTCTCTCCTTGGATAATTATATTTTTAAATTACTCGTTAGCTCTGCTTCCATTTTATCCTGAATCTCACTCTGTTTGGTTTGCTTCAGTAAAACTCGGGTTTTGTTGGCCTTCAGCCCGTAAATAGGCGCGGCTCTTTGTTCTTAGAGACGAGAGTTAGCGGCGCGTGGCCCCGACCCTCCTGCTCCCCAGGGCCCCCACCTGAAGGTGACGCGCGGTGCCCGGACTGCGCGCTCTCCAAGGAAGGGGACGCGCGGCCACTGTTCAGTAGCGCCACCCCTGGGACCCTGCATTAAAAGAGATTCGCCTTGATCCAGTGGTAAGAGCATTTGGAGAAGTTCCCTCTTTCAGTCACTTCTCAATTTTAACATTTTATTGTCCACTTCCTTGCCGTAGTGAGCTCTTTAAACTACTAAAAGTAGAGTGTCTCCATAAAGATTTCAGGAGTAAATGTCAAGTTCAGATTTTTGTTGTCTTTCTCTGAAGACGGGGTCCTCGGGTTTCGCTTCTCTAGACCCAGGGGGATTCCGCAGCGTTGGAGGAACGCGGGCGTCCCGGGGTACCAGGGTGAGGTCGCGGGGTGTCACGGCTCCTTGTGCTGCAGGCAAAGGAAGTATTTCCACCCACGGAGAAGTGCGAGGAGTGGGCTTGAGCGGCTCAGCTCGTGTTTCCCAGCGCAGTGCCCCTCTCGCTCCGCGGTCTGCAGGGTCCGCAGGGGCAGGCGCTCAGCGGCCAGGCGGGGCCAGGCGGCCGGGCGGGTCCCCTGGCGGGACCAGAAAGGCGAGTAGGGGCTGCTTATGCAATTATATTTTTTGCTTTAATTTCCATTTAGAATGATCCACATTGATATTTTGTAACAATTTCCTTAGTTCAAAAAAACAAAATAAGCCTGTCTAATAATATGTGTAGAAACGAAATACAAAGTACTACTTCTAAAGAATATCATATAATATGTTTATTTTAAACTTTGACCACTTGGAACTTTGTAGAATACTTTTTATGAAACGCACTACTGAAGCTTTTTTTTCTTTTTAATTTGGAATTTGCCGTCTCCAAAATCGATTTTTGTTAGAAAACTCAAAGTGGAATGTAAAACTGTAACTCCAAAGTCTTTAAACATTATTTAATTTGGATTCATTTAAAGCAAGAGTTTTAACTTTATTTCATCTTAAGTTACATTTTCTGTGTATGTAAATCTTTTCATCTTTTCAGAGAATTATGAGTTTTCTGAAATCTACATAGCTTTTAAAAATATACTGACAAAATTAAAGTTAAAATTATTAAAATGTCTGAAAATTGTCCATTTTTATTTTAATCAAAATCTCTTGAAATGTATACATTATATATTAAGCTTTCTTGCTTGTTAAAATTTTTCAAAGCATAGGGATTATTTTTTATATACTTTTTAAATTTTGGTAGAATATACATAAAATAAAACATATTTTACCTATTTTTTTACATTTTTAATCTTCAACGTTGATCATGGCCAGTGTTGCCAGATCTGTTGCATTTGATGTGTTTATTAGCAGGGAGTAGCATTTGATCTTCTGAGCCTTCGGACCCAGTGGTCAAGTTTATTTGTTAAATTAAATCCATGGTCTGATTTCACAATATCAAGACCTCTAATTTAGAATGTCAAAGTTTGCAAGGCTTTTGCCGGTGAATTTTACGCTCTCTAAACACAGCCCTTCAGGGGGGACGTGCTCGAGCCGAGACGTCCGACGAGGCGGCTGTGCGGCCTCCGCTGGCTCGCGCTCAGGGGCCTCCGGGTCCGTGACTCACGAGCACATGCTCCCCCACCCCCTCTGCAAACTCGAGCTGCTGTTTTAATATTAGTATGTGCATCCTTTGCTGAGGGCCAGCGTTTTCTTCATGTCTTTACTTCGCATTTCATAAACTAATGCTGATGCTGACAAATGATCGTTCTCATGACCTACAGGAAGCTGGATTCTGGTTTTCTCCCAATCGCTTTTAGCCATATTTGCCAGTGTATGGTTGTTGTCATGCGCATTTTCTTTGTCAAAGACTCAAGGTGACTTGTCTGGGGACCAGGCCAGCTCGGGGAGGTCTTGCGTGTGGCATCCAGATGTGCCCTGTGGAGGGCCGAGCCCTCTTCTGAGTGTCCCCTTCCATGTAAGCTCCGCCCCCTCAGGCGCGCCCGCAATGAGAATTTGGGGGGCAAAGCCCGTGAGATAAAATAACGCAAAGATGAAGATTCATAAAGCACATGCTCGAATAGTGTTAAGTCGGCATCAGGGAGCTACTGTCACTCGGTTCTCTGGCCTTTTCTGACGACCTTGGCCCGGACCTTCTTGGGCCTGCTCTGCAGAGGTCTTTCCCAGACCTCTTGGTTTCATTGTAGTCATATCATTTATCATATCGGAAATTACTGTGCATTTTTTTCTTTAACGTTTTCTTGTCGTTCTATTATGCTAGTAAAATGGAAGAGACAGTGCTTTTGTGAATGCATTCCTAACTGCGTTCCCAAGGCCTAGGACAATAGCTGGGAGACACCAGGTGCTCAGAAACAATCCATTTAACAAACGAATAATTTTCTTCCTGGCGCACCCACTCTGTGGCACCTTTTAGACTCACCCTAAAATTGCCCCCTTCCGGCTGCCGTCATGTTTCTGCTTGTTCCTGGGTGTGTTTGGAGAAAACACAAGTGGATGTTCATGTTACCAGCTGCCAGAATGTAATTTAAAGAAAGAAGCAGATACAAAGAACTCATCTCCGTTCCCTAGTTAAGTGAAAAAATATTTTTTCTTAAATATCTGAGCCTGTGGGTTCGATCCCCGGTCAGGGCACGTATAGGAACCAACCGGTGAATGAATGCAGAGATAAGTGGAACAGCAAATCGATGTCTGTCTCTGTCTCTCTCCTTCGCTCTTCCTCTCTCCCCCTTTCTCTTTTTAAAATCAATCAAAATAAAAAAGCAAACCATCAGTGAAACAATGAAAGACCTTCGCAATGAGCAGTGCAGTGCTCACTGATTAATATAAATAGCTTGTTAATAAATTGAGTCATGTAAGATCTTTTACACAAATTATTAAAGTTAGGGGATTTCATTTCGGCTCCAGGATTGAAAGGAAAATGCACCCGACCCGCGGCTGGGGACTGTCGCCTTGTTTCTGAGTCCTGGACGTGCCCTGGGTGCTGTCCCATCCGCAGGACGGAGGGCCGGCGGCCCACAGCCCGAGCAGCCCGTGGTGCGCGCCGGGCAGTGCGCGAGCGCGCGGGGCGGGACTGAGTGCCGGCGGGTGACGCCGGCGCGTGCGCGCCCCGCCCTTTCCGGTCTCTGATGCAGCGCCCCCTGTCTTGTAGGCGAGCGCCCCTATCAGTGCCCCTACTGCGAGAAGGGGTTCAGCAAGAACGACGGGCTGAAGATGCACATCCGGACCCACACGCGGGTAAGACGGCGTTCTGCCTTGCTCCTCTTGATTCTAAAAAAACAGTTCTTACTGGGAAAAAAAGCCTTCCGCGGGGGAACAAAAGGTGATACACCTGAAATTGTATGTTTGTATTTATGGTGGACATTTGGGGGGTACATTTTTTTTCAAGACAAAACAAAGAGACAAAGATCCACACCTCCAGAGGGTCCCCGCTCTTTGAACTGCGACTCAGTTTGTAGGGGCAAAGGGAGTTATAAGCGACAAACTTCGAATAAGCAGATTGTAACACTTTAATAACTGAAAAAATGAGAAGTGGTAGTGCCTTGCTGAGCGTTCGCCAGGAACGCCCCGGCATGGAGGCGCGGGCCGCACGGCCGTGCGCGCAGACAAACAGGTGTATCGCGGGAAGGCCGCTGAAGACGGTGCAGGTTGTCGGGGCACCTGGCGCGGCCACTCTGTCCCGGGGCCCTCGGTTCCCCCGCCACGCACGCCTCTGTCTGGACTGTTGTCGCTCTGCCCTAACGGCTTTTCTAGGCACAGCCGTTGGCTTGGCCTCCCGCCCCGCTCTTGGCTCGCCGCTCCGTTTAGGGAGCCGCGGGTCCGGGGCCAGTGGGGGCTGTTTGCCACAGCTCCCCGCGTGGGCTCCGCCCGCGGTTCCCCTGCAGCTTCTCCCTCTCCGCGCCTGTAACGCCGGCCGTTCAAGAGCTTATGGTCTGTGCATAGATGGTGTGCTTCTCACGTTTGCAGAGACTGCCTGATCCCCTACAAGCCCTTCGAATTCGGGCCCCTCCTGGACCTCGCCTTTTACCTCAGCTGTAAACTAAGAACTTGAGAGCAAACAGAGGGGGAGAGTAGCAGCCTTTCCAGTGCGGCGGCGCCCTGGGCGCACAGCGGCGCCCGCAGGGCCCGCGGGGGGGCCGCCTGCGTTTGAGATGGACAGAGAGGCGGCTTCTCGGCGCCTTACGGCCCACCTTCCGCGGCTTCGTCCTTCCGGTTTAGCTTGTCACACGCTCATGTTGCAGGAATAGTAGGAGCTGGAGTACTTCCTATGTATAAAATTACTCCTTAAACAGTAAAATGACTTAAGTATACTATTCAAGATGGTTCTTTCACAATGAGCGTTGTTGGAGAGGTTTGAGTTTTAGTGCAATTTGCTTTATATGTGTGCAGCTGCCACAGGCGTGCCAATAATGTGTTTTAAAGATGCCAAGGCGCAGGCAAGGGGCCCTGGTTCCTCCTATCAAAGCTGGCTCCGTGCCAACCCTGGGCAGGTGGGGGCTGTTACCTGGTTTCCATGGTTACACCCCAGAAAGAGCCGTTTAAAGTCACTGTAGGGAAAAAATACCTTTTGAGTTTTCCCCAAGACAGTGGGCTATTTCAAATTCAAGTCATTTTTTACTTTTTAATAAAAGTTTATTTAAAAAATTTTAATAAAAGTTTATTAATGAGAATAATAAAGAAATAGTTAAAATACATACAAAGGCCACTTATTATATACCAGGGACTGTTCTAGGCCCCGACGTTTATTAGTTCCCGTCAGGCTCACAGTAATTCACTGATTCGGTGGAGTCCCAAGCCTCTGAAGCCTCCGCGAGGCAGGCGTCATCGTGATCCCTTTGTCAAAGAGGGAGACGAGGCACAGGCCTGGAGGGAGCAGCGCTGGCATCGGAGCCGCGGCCGCGGGCTGCGGAGGCCGGCCCCGTACCTGCTCCCCCTTTGCTTCTGATTCCGTTCAATATTCTCGGCTCCCACTGACTTTGATCTACTTTCTGGTGTGTTTTTACACCAAACAAACGGCAGCAGTAACCCCGCATGTGTAAGTTCCTTGTTCGTTTGCATCTTTGAGCCTTGACCCAAGGACGCTGAGGCTGCCTCCAGGTGTCGGGGGCAGGCGGAGCCCGCCCTCGCTGCCCGCGAGCGACGTGGGGTGGCCCCAGGGCCAGGACCCCGCGGGGACTGCGGCAGTGACACAGGCCTAGCGGGTGTTGCCTGGAACTCACGTTTACTTGTTCTGCGCTCGTGCCATTGATGGTTGATCGCAGACAGCCCCGGTATTGAGATCCTGTTTCCTGAGCATTGGATGAATACAGAGATCCTCTTCGTATTAGTGCAACAGCTTGGAAACGCATTGATTATCAGCTGATGAAATCAAATTAATTTCAAGATCCAAAAGGGACTTTAAAAAAAGTTCTAGAGGAACAAGCTCCACAAGGTCATATTTTCCCAGTATTATTTGGGATTTAAAAGAGTCAAGTCAGAAAAGATCCCATTACAGTGGGACCGTTAACATGTCAGTTTCAATTTTGCGCTCTCCTTGCATTCCGTATCTGCTGGCTCTAACTCCAGACATTTTTGTCCTATTTCAAAAGCTAATTTTAATTCAATATCAAAAACTATTTCATTCAGCAAGTCACATCTGTAAGAAGTTCTGGCAGGTCCACACCACGCGCCACGCCCCCGATGTGCGCCCCATGGTTCCTGCCCGGGTCGCCTGTCCCCCGCGGCTGTTTGTGGGGGGCAGCCGGGCCGGAGCAGGGGAGGCCGTTCCGCTAAAACCCTAAAAGGCTCAACAGCCATTCTGTCGCTGAGAGGCCAGGGTTGGTAATTGATTTCATTTCCTTCCGTGTGTTTTCTCTGCTTTTGGTTTTCGGCCGGGGCCTGCCTGCTGCTTTCTCTGTATTTATCCTGCATTGTTGGTGGTTTGTTACCAGTAATAGTTTCACCTGTTCTTCCGACCCCCTTTTGTGGCGCCGGCCCCCGCGGCTGGCGGGGGTGGGGGCGCAGAGAGGCCCCGCAGACCTGCCGGGCCTGGCCCGCCTGCGCCCCGCGTCGGCCCGGAGGGAGCTCGGCGCCGCTCCGCGCCCGCTGCAGCCGCTCCGGGGCGGGCGAAGGAGGCGGCCCTCGCCTTGCCGCCTGTCCTCTTTGCTTGAGCCCCTCCCCCCCGCCTCGGCCTGGCCTGGCTTTCTTACCGCCCCGCCGCGTGGACATCCTGGCTGACACATTCGTGCCCTGTTGCATCAGCCCAGTTTTTTCTTTCATGTCGTCGTTTTCCTTTCCCTTCCCCTCGGAGCCAGGTTCGCTTCTCATGCGTTCAGCAGTGTGACAGCCTATCACCCAGCCCTCCTCGGTGTTCGTGTGGGCTTCCTAAATGCATCTGCGTCCGCGTGGAAAGGACAAAACCGCTGAGCCCCGGCCTCGGCGCAGGGCAGCGCCGCGTGCTCAGGGGGAGCCGGGCGCTCCCACTGTTAAACGGGACGTTTCCTCCGCGTGGGGACGCTGTGCGACGGGGACGGGGACCGTGGGAAGCGGCAGCTGGCCGTGCCCGGGGCGGCCCGGTGGAGCGCCCTGAAGCCGGTCCCCGGCGGAGCCCACGCGGGGGCAGGGCAGGCTGGTGTGCCGCTCGGAGGGCGGGCGAGATTAGCAGTAACCTCGGAGTTCCCTGCTTCCCAGAAACACGATCTGGGAGATAGAGCAAATATCCACTCCAAGCAACTTAATGCCCCGAAATAGCGCCCCCCTATATAAATAATTTTTTACATCACAAAGCCTGTCGTGCAGGTTAGTGATGAAGCTCTAACCCACTGCGAAGTCTGCGGCTGTTAGTTGCTAAAGTGAGAGCGACATTCAAGCGCACGCACTACAATTTCTTCACGGGTTGGGAGCTATTTTGGGTCTGCCTTGAACCGACTAGGAAGTGTCAGTGAATCCTAAGTGCCTCGATGGGGCTTCAGTCAGAGGCGTTTCAGTCCCAGCGTCACGTCCCGTGCCACGGCCGTGGACACCGCCACACCGCCGTGCGTCCCGGATGCGACGGGTGGGGCGTGCGTGGGGCGGCCGGGCACCGTGGGCCGGGGCAGCCTCGCGCCCTGGCGGCAGCCCGTCCGTAAACCCCGCGGACGCTTCCGCGGCGCCCAGGGAATTGTGTCGTGAACCTGGCGTTGCAACAGGGAGTATGCGCAGAGCCGTTTCCAGATTTAGCTAAAACAAAAATCAGCAAACATCAGCACGTGGGCTGGGGGCCGCCTCGCCGCCACGGTGGTGTTATCTTTAGACTTTAATGATACACTGCGGGGCCGAAGGCAAGTGCGTGCGTCTGCCGCGCGCAGAGAGAGATGTTCTTTGTTTCTGAGAGGCAATATACAATTAATTTTTTAAAGTGGGATTGTTATTCTTAGGAAAGTGATACATTTTCTGTATTATTTTCTCTCTGAAACGGAGTTTATATTCATCTTGTATTCCATTCAGGACGGGTTTATTACTAAAGTACCCTAAGCGTCTTGAAATAAAGGACCATCTATTTATATGAAAAATCTTGAAATAAAAGACCATCTGCGTATGTGAGTGGATTTCAGGAACACTGCTGTGTGGAGAGAGCCACACATAATTCCCTTTCTTCATAAAAGCACCCCAGTTATATTTTCGTGAAGTGTGCCCTTTTCAGCTTGAATTCTATTATTCACATGCATTTTTTGGATAACACACAGCAGAAAGGAGGTTCATATAATACATAAAATGCCCTATTGAATTGTATTATGGGCCAAGAGAGATGGTCAGCAAATGCGAGGACACAGGGGCAGTATCTCATGTGACAGGTGAGGGAAGCAGGGCTGAGTGAGGTGGCTTGTCCCCAGTGACACGGCCAGTGATGGGCAGCTGGGAGGTGGACACGAGATGACTTCGCTGCCCAAGGCCGCGTTTGTCAGTGCTGTGCACACAGGTGTCGAGAGCTGTCCAGGCTTGCGTTTCCTAGTGTACGAACCAGTCTTTTATAGAAATTCTAAGAAAACGGGATGATCTGTCATTCGGCTCAAAAGCAACTTGCTGCTGCTGCAGGGAGGGCCCCCGAGCCCCTGGACCCCTCCCTCCTGCTCCCCGGCTGCTGCAAGGAACCTGGCCTGGGCTCTAAAGTGTCTTGCAGGAGGGAGCCCCCAGGGCACGGTCACAAGGACACCCCTCTTAGGAAAGCATTCAGCAGCCCCAGTCTGACCTCTGCAGGCGTTTTCCCTTTGGTGGCACTT